ACGGCCACGGCGCCCTCTCGAGAACCGAAAACGGACAATTCACTAATCGACGTGTCACTGTTGGGGGTTCTGTCCGCCCCCGATTTCTGCATCCCGAGGCGCTGCGCCCGCGGCGCGAGGGGCGAGCCTCCTCGCTCTCTCGCTGGGGCGGCGCCGGGACCGGGGAGACACTCGGCCTGGTGCCAATCGGGGACCTCTGGGAGGTTTTCGGTCGCGGAGCGTGCTGCGGGCTTCACGACTCAAGGGGGGGATGCCACAGCCCTCCCAGACGAGCCGTTCTGGACCCCTCCGCCGCGTCTGGGAACACCTGCCGCAAGATATAGCCCCCCCTGGCTGTGCCCCAATGAAGCGGTTCAGACACCCCCCTCGACATCAACATCAGACACGCCCCCCTTTCGCCAAGACAGCTCGAGCCCCCCTCCGTTTCGCCAAGTCATCAAGACATCTGGAGAGCACTCACAGGTGGCGTGGTGAGTCCGGCCTCGGGTCCTCTACCCGGCCTGCAACTCGGGCCTGACAGACCACGAAGTCTGCAGAGACATCGGACCACCACCTGCCTCAGACACCGCCGCCGCCGCCGCCACCGCCGCCGTCGTCGCCGTCGTCGCCGTCGCCGTCGCCGTCGCCGTCGCCGTCGCCGTCGCCGTCGCCGTCGTCGTCGTCGTCGTCGTCGTCGTCGTCGTCGTCGCCGATCGAGTAGTGTCGATGCCTGCACTGCTCCATCAGGACCGCCGCGCGCGCCCACGCGCCTTGCGGGCGATCTCGAACCGCAGGGTCTGGAGCGCGTCAAGCGCCAGGCTCCTCCAGTCGGCCTCCCAGGGAGCGTGGAGGAGGAGGAGGAGGAGGAGGAGGAGGAGGAGGAGGAGGCGAAGGACGAAGAGGAGAACGAGGAGGATGAGGATGAGGAGGACGAGGAGGAGGGAGAGAAGGAGGAGGAGGAGGGAGGAGGAGGGGAGGAGGAGGAGGAGGAGGAGGACGAGGGAGGAGGAGGAGGAGGACGAGGAAGAGGAGGATGAGGATGAGGATGAGGATGAGGAGGGGAGGAGGAGGAGAGAAGGAGGAGGAGGAGGAGGAGGAGGACGAGGGGAGGAGGAGGACGAGGAAGAGGAGGACGAGGAAGAGGAGGAAGAGGAGGAGGAGGAGGAGCAGGAGGAGGAGGAGGAGGAGGAGGAGGCCCTCTGGCGGGTCCTTGTTTGCACTGGCCCGCGTCTCAAGGCTGCCGAGAGAAGGGTCAGAGAGCGCTCCCGATGGCCCCGCCGCGGAACGAGTCCACGGTCGTCGGAGGCCTGGGGCCATGCCGGGCGCGGCCTCAGCGAGTCCTTTCCGTGACGAGCCCCTCGCCCTCACCCCGTCGCGGAAAGTTGAAGGCGCACAGAGGGGGTCGGGGGAGGGGGGAAGACTTCTTGGCAGGGGGCGGCTTCTTAGAACGCGCCGGCCCTACAGCTATAGATAAGGCCGCCGCCCTGGAAGAAGCAGGGGTGCTTCTAAGAAGCCTTCCCCCCTCCCGTTGCACACCCCCCTTGCGGGTGGCTGACAGAAGGCGTCTGCGGCGACAGCACGGCCGATGACCAGCCAGAACCGACGGCGAAAGGCCGAGACCGACCGAAGCGGACAGACGCAGGAGCCTCACCGAAGCGGCAACCGACCGAGCCGACGCCGAGCCGGGCCGAGCGCAGCCGGCCGCAGCTCGGCGGGCACCCCCTGGACGCAGCGGGCGGGGCCGGCCCGCCGCCTCCGTCACCCCGAGGCACGCCACCCGGTAGGCGGTGTTGAAGTCCTGCGGCAGCCGCGCGCCGGCCCTGTTCCTTGCTGACAGGGCCCCCCTGCCCGCGGGCCGCGGGACGTTGGGGATCGGGCTGCCCGCGGCGAGCCGAGGCCGAGCCAGCGTTGCCCCCTCGAGGGCAGCTGCAGCCCTCTCCTCCTGCTGCGGTTCCTCCTCCCTCTCCTGCGGCTGCTGCTCCTGCTGCTGCTGCCGTTGCTCCTCCTCCTCCTCCTCCTCCTCCTCCTCCTCATCCTCCTCCTCCTCGCCTTCCTCCTCCTTCTCCTCCTCCTCGTCCTCGTCCTCCTCCTCCTCCTCCTCCTCCTCCTCTTCTCCTCTTCTCCTCCCTCTGCTGCTGCTGCTGCTGCTGCTGCTGCTGCTGCTGCTGCTGCTGCTGCTGCTGCTGCTGCTGCTGCTCGCCGTCTCCTCTCCCTCTGCTGCTGCTGCTGCTGCTGCTGCTGCTGCTGCTGCCCTTTCCCCGTCGATCATGTTCCGCCTCATCGTCTGCCCCTTCTCGCTCCCCCTCGCCTCCATCCTTCCCATTGTCCTCCTCCTCGCCCTCCTTCTCCGCGCCCTCCGTCATCCGCCAATCCTCCTTTACCCAATTCTCCGTGCTCCGCTCCGTCGGCCATTTCTCCTCTTTCCTCCTGCTCCAACCTCCATGCGCTCGGCGCTCAATCCCTCCGTCCGGTCCGTTCTCCGTCGCCGTCGTCCTCCGTCTGCCCAACAGATCCGCCAGCATCCGCGCCCTCCTTGCTCTGTCCGCATTCCCTCTGCTTCCTCCTCCTCCTCCTCCTCCGTTCGTCCTTCGTCGTCTGTCCACTTAAAAACAATGGCATAGGCATGAACATCTAAGCTAGTGTTGACCCTGAACAATGTTTTTCTAGCAACAGGAGGTGTACAATATGCGTGGAGCAAGCTATGTTGTTCAATATAACCTGTGCAACCTATGTGGTGCGCAACTTATGCGATGCAGTTGACGTGGTGCAGTTTGAAAGGATGCAACATATGATGTCCCATGTGATGTAGTCGATTTGGTGCGAAATCTGTGTTGTGTAATCTGCGATGCAATCTACGTGGTGCAACTCACTTGCCGAACTTGAGATTGTGAATTCCACTGCTCGCGCAATCATCCCACCCACCCACCCGCAACTTGGTTTGCACAACCCATGCGGGAGCGGTTGCGATGAGTGCTGGGTGTTGGCTGGTGCATCTCTGCGGCGGCGCTAGCCCGCGCGTGCTCGCGCGCGCAGCGGCCAGCTAGTTTGGCGCGACCGACGCGAACGCGATGGCGCTGACCGCTCGACACGTCTCAACGGGCACTTCAGTGCGAGTCGGCGACGTGGGCGGGCGCGGTATCATGGCAACGTCGGCAACGATAGACACGATGATGACAGTAGCGATGCTGGCGACGATGCTGACAGCGACGACGGGGCAGCTAGTGACGGCGCCGACGCTGATCACGCCGACGACGATGACGGCGTGTTCTCGTCGGTGGTTCAAGTTTTCGAACGAATTCGAAATGCGCGCGCGGCAGATGCGCGAGTGTGGCTCGCAAGGTATTCTTTGACACGGATCGCGCCACCCCAGCACGGGCGCAAGGGAGTTCGAACGATTTCGACATGCGCGCGCGAAGCCCGTTGTGTAGCATGGTATGAACATGTTGCAAAATCCATGGATTTCTGAAACATTCGCAAGAACTCGCTCGCACGCTTTTGTTGAAACTCCGTGCTGTGAATCCTTTTGTTTAACATATTTTTGGCAACTCTATTTTGCAATCCTTCCGAAACCAAAGAAGGTGTTTGAAGGATTGCGGCATGCGCGCTCGACGGCACGCGCGTGTGCACCTCGCCCCATTTTTGGCACGGAACTGTTGGAAACTATGGTTTGTGATAAACGAATGCGCGCGCGTATTATTTGTTGCAAGGGAACCGAGAGGGGGGGGCGATAACGGTTTAGCTGGGATAATATGAACTCACAGGTAGGATGGACATTGGGTCTGGGATACTATGAGTCCACAGGTACGATGGACATTGGGCCAGAACCATATATGCGTTTTGCATAGGCCCCTGGGGACTCGATAAGTCTGGGGGGGGGGGTGGTAGAACCTATCTTCTTCTCAGGAAGGAGAATCTATCTGGCACAGGCGGTGCAATCTACGTTGTGCAATTTAGGCGGCGACGGGGCGGCGACGGCGGCAACACAGGCGCCAGACCGACAATCAGGCCCAAACGACGGGCGGCGACGGGGCGGCGACGGCGGCGACGAAGACGCCAGACCGACCCCCCCCAGTTCCTCAGAACAGAAGCACAAAACCCAGAATGCAAACATTTGTTTGTGAAGAGCCAACAACACACAAACACACATACACACACACACACGCACGCACGCACGCACGCACACGCACGCACGCACGCAGCACACACGCACGCACGCACGCACGCACGCACGCACGCACGCACACACACACATACACACACACACGCACGCGCGCACACACACACACACTCACACACTTACACACACACGCGCACACACGCACGCACACACGCACACACAAACACAACACAACTCAACACAACACAACACAACACAACACCACACCGCACCACACCAAACCACACCACACCACACAACACGACACACCACAACACAACACCACCACACACCACACACACACACACACGCACACACACACACACACACATAAGCACACACACACAATCCCATAAGGGGGTCGGAGAGGGCTATGGGTCCGTGTTGTCGGATGGGGGTCCCCGCTCGAACGGGAGCGTTCCTCAGGGTCCGACAGCCCGCACCCGTACCCATAGCCAGTCCTCCTCCCAACGACCCCCCCTTTGAGTATGGGTGTGTGTGTGTGCTGTTCGTTCGTCAGTTTGGGGAACCTGGAGGTTCGCGTGGATTTCTCGGGTCGGCACTGGACCCCCCTCCCTGGCGCGCGGAGCGCGCCAGGGGCGCCGCCGGAGGGCGCCGCGAGGGGGCCCCGGCGCCGATGCGAGAGATCCCTGCGGACCTCCGAACTGTCATGTTCATGCCATGGTTCGTTCCCCTGCCTTTGTCCTCTGCCCGCCGTGTTCCTCGGTCCTCCTCGGTCCTCCTCCTCCTCCTCCTCCTCCTCCTCCTCCTCCTCAACGCCGCCGTCCTCGCCGCCGTCCTCCCCAATGCTGCTGCTGCTGCAACTCCTCCCCGCCCAATTCCAGGGAGCGCCTGCGAGACGACCGCGGGCCCCGGAGGTCCCGACCGCTTCTCGATTGTTTTGTTTGTCCGTTTGTTTGTTTGTGAACTGCTTGTTTTTATTATGTCGTGTTGTTCTTGTTGTGGCATTCCCACTTCTAAAGAATCAGGGGGACGTAAGACCTGGGTACAGGGGACTCGGAAATCCCCGACGAGGTCGTCAAAAAAATGACGAGGCCGAGCCTGCATTTTGACGAGGCCTCCCGCTGCAGACATCCCACGAAACTCCTCCTCGTCAAAATCCGAGGCGCGGTCGTCAAAAAACGATGGCGAACCCGAGTCCCGGCAAACCCGGGTCTTACGCTCCCCCGATTGTTGTGGCATTCCCACTTCTAAAGAAGGATGCTGGTTTATCCCCCCCTGCCCACTGTGGCTTTTCAATTGAGATGCCCCTCCCGTGGCTCGTACCCTGTTTTGCTTCACAAGAGGGAATACTGCGCCTCAGACTGGGTTGCTGGCCCCCGGTTTGCAACAGCAGCCTGCTGATTCTAAGGGAACAGAACATGGCACCAAACTGTGCCCTTGGGCCCCGACTTGCAACCCGCCCGATAACTCCTCACAGTGTATTATCAAATCGTGCTCTTGCGCGGGACTTCCTCACAGTGTATGCGGCAATCGCGCTCTCGCGCAGGACTTCCTCGACATTTACTCCGGCGCCGCGCCTCGACACTCGGGGCCCACGCTCTCGCTGTGGATGTCCTTATGATTTGTTTGGGGATCGCGCCATCGCTCGAGACCTCCCGGCGGTTCCTGTAGAACGCACACTGCAACCCGCCTGCTCGACCTGGCCGCCTGGGCCCGCCTTCCCGACCCGCCCGTCAAAGTCTACCCGCCCGATCTGCCCGTGTGGTTCTGCCACGTGCTTTCTGCTCCTAGCCCCCCTCCTGCTACTCTCTCTCGCGCTCCTGCTGCTCTCTCTCGCCTGCCCTCAGTCCCTTCCTTCCATCCATCCTGTCCTCCCCTGGCTTAGGGCTGCAAGAAATACGCGTTGCAGGTAAGAAAGATATGCCCCCAAGGTGGTACGACCGAAGACGAAGAGGGCGGGTATCGAGCGCGCGGATTATACGTGTTGAGTGGTACGCGAACAGATAAGAGCGAACCATCTTAACATTATTGCAGCTGTAGCTGTTGTTGTTGTGGTTGTTGAGTTGTCACTTCTGAAGAATGAATATTGTTGATCCCCCCCGCCCGGTGCACGCTGTATTGTTCCATGTGAATGGCCCTCCCCGGGGCTCGCCACCCTTTTGTTACTACGGAAAAATTTGAGCGTCAAACTGGGCCCCCGGCCACCGAGTTACAACAAGAACTGCTCCCGTCTGATACTTCTTTATAGTGTATTCTCAAATGGCGCTCTCGCGCGGGACTTCCTCACAATGTATGTAGGAATCTCGCTCTCGCGTGGGGCTCACTTGCAATTTATTCAGACGATGCGCCCTCGGCGATCAGGAATCACGCTGTAGAGTAATCACTGTTTAGCCCACCTCCGGTGACCAGATTTCCTCACGATTGATTTGGGAATCGAGCTGTCGCTCGAGACTTTCTGGCGATTCATGCAGGACGCACGCTTAAGCAACTTGCTGTTGCTGTTGCTGCTGTTGTAATCGTCGTCGTCGTTCCTGTTGCTGTTGTTGGTCCCTCACTACTGAAGAATAATTAATGGTCCGAGCGGATAAGAGCGAATAGACTAAAAATGATAGTTGTTGTTGTTATTACCAGTCGTATAAACACTGAATTCACATGTCTGAAGAAAAACTGTGAATTTGCCACCCCTGCCCAATAACCATTGTGCTTATCCTGGGGCTCGCATTCTTTGTAGTCTGTAAAATACTTACTAAGGAAAATGAAATGTCACCAAACTGGGTTGTTGGCCCCTGGACTACAACCACAACGGCTCCCGCTCGATACTTCCTCATAATGTATTCCCAAATCACGCTCTCGCGCTGGACTTCCTCACAAGTTATTCAGAATCGCGTTCTCGCGTGGGACTTCCTCACAATATATTCAAACGCCGCGCCCCTGACACTCAATAATCACCCTCTCGCTATGGATATCCTGATGATTCATGTAGGAATCGCACTATCGTTTGAGACTTCCTCGCAATTCATGCAGGACGCACGCTTCAGCAACCCGCCTGCCCCTTGTCCCTTCCTTCCATCCGTCCTCTCTTCCCCTGCCTCAGGGGCTGCACGGCATACATGTTACAGGTAAGAAAGATATACCCCTGATAGGGGTACGATCGGAGGCGAAGGGGGCGGGTATCGAGGGCTTGGAATATATGTGTTGAATGGCACGCGAGCAGGTAAGAGCGAACAAGCTTAACACGATTGTCGTCGTCGTCGTTGTTATTGCTGTTGTTGTTGGGATCTCACTACTGAACAATAATTACTGTTGATCCCCCTCCGGTGACCAGATTTCCTCACGATTGATTTGGAAATCGAGCTGTCGTTCGAGACTTCCTCGCGATGCATGCAGGACGCACGCTTGAGCAACCCGCCTCCTCCACCTGGCCGCCTGTGCCTTCCTTCCCGACCCGCCTAGTGGGGTCTACCCGCCCGATCTGCACGTCTGGTTCTGCCACGTGTTTTCTGCTCATAGCCCGTGCTCCATCCTCCTCCCTCCCCTTTGTCCTTCCTTCCATCCATCCATCCATCCTTGGCACGCGAGCAGACAAGAGCGAACAGGCTTAACACGATTGTTGTTGATGCTGCTGGTGTTGTTGCTGCTGTTATTGTCGTCGTCGTCGTGGTGGTGGTGGTGGTCGTCGTCGTCGTAGTGGTTGTTGTTGCTGTTGTTGTTGTTGTTGTTGTTGCTGTTGCTGTTGTTATTGTTGTTGCTGCTGCTACTGTTGGTGTGGTTGGTGGTGTTGTTGTTGAATGCGAATCACTAAACTTATCACTGATGGACCCCTTATAGGCGCCCTGGCGCTCTCGCCGAGGCGCCGGCTACATTTTCATTGAAATTGAGGCTCACGCTCGAGCGGTTGGGGGGACCGCCAAAACCGGCCCCCCAATAACAACAACAACAACAACAACAACAACAACAACAATCATTTTACCCGAACGCGTGGTGTTCTCCCCAGTGCCAGGGTTTTCATACGACACCAGGCAATACCCCCACTTCGTGGGGGGGCATTACAAGCTCTACCAAATATCCAAACGACTCTTCGCGACCACCCAAACCCAGCTTCCCGCCCTATGACGTTGGGACACTTCACTTCGTGGCGTGCGGACGACCGTGGCTACTACACTGGCGTGGGGTACACACCCACAGAACTTGGTCACTTATTCGGGGCGCGCATGTGCCCAGCATGGTGCAATTGTGCCATACAATACATAATACAGAGAGACGAATGTGTCCCGCATGGTATTATTTGACAGGGATGATGGCCCTGGCAGGTGCGCAACCGTTGTCGCAGAAGTTCGAAAAAGTTGCTCGCAAAAGCCCGTTTGACAGAAATGTTTAAAAAGTGTTGGGTTTCCTACGAATCCGCAAGAGCGCGCGGGATGAGATTTTGACATTTTTTTGTTGAAAAACCATTGGTTTTTTGATGTTTTTATGTTAAAATCGCTCCGAACACTAAGCTTTTGGAAGGATTTCGTCTTGCGCGCGCGAATGTCCACTTTACCTTATTTTTTGCAAGGGATTCTTGAAATTTGATTATATTAGAACAAGAAATGTCATTTTATAGTGTTTTTTGCAAGGGAAAACGGATTACAACAAAACAACCGGATCTTGATCACCTCGAATTACCTGAGGCTTCCTCACGAAAATGATGAAAACGTGGCTGCGGCCTAGGCGCGGCGGGGGGGGCGCGCACCAGGGGGCCCAACAATAATTATTCTTTAGAATTAATAATGTTCAACAACAACAACAACGACGACAACAACAACAACAACAGCAACAGCAACAGCAACAGCAACAACAACACCAACAACAGCAACAGCAACAACAACAACAACAACAACAACAACGCTCCCGCTCGAGATTTCCTTTTTTTTACTCGGGCTGGTGTTCTTGCTCGCCGCCGAAAGCCGCCGTCCTAACAAAACCAACGCTCCCGCTCGAGACATCCTCCCATTTTACCTTGGACTGGCGCGCTAGTCTTTCTCTCATCGGCGCCGCCCCCAGCAAGAACAACGCTCCCGCTCGAGACTTCCTCCTTTTTTCCTGAAGACGGTGCTGCTCCTCGCCGCCGACAACCCCCGTCCCGACAAAACTACGGCTCCCGCTCTATGTTTCCTCCCTTCTTACTCAAGGCGGTGTTCCTCCTCGCCGCCGAAAACCGCCGCTCCGACAAAACCAGCGTTCCCGCCCGAGACTTCGTTTTGTTTTACGCTGGACTAGCGCCCTACTCTCTTTTGAATTGGCGCCGCTCCCAGCAAGAACAACGCTCCCGCTCGCGATTTCCTTGTTTTGTTTTTCCTCGGGGCGGTGTGGTTCCTCGCCTCTGGCAGCCCCCGTCCCGACAAAACCACTGCTCCCGCTCGATGTTTCCTCATTTCTTACTCAAGGCGGTGTTCCTCCTCGCCGCCGAAAGCCGCCGTCCCAACAAAACCAGCGTTCCCGCCCGAGACTTCGTTTTGTCTTACGCTGGACTAGCGCCCTACTCTCTTCAGCATTGGCGCCGCTCCCAGCAACAACAGCAGCCCTGCTCGAGACTTCCTCCCTTTATATTCAGGGCCAGGTCCTTGCCTCACCGCCGACAGCCCCCATCCCCACCAAGGCAATCCTGTCGTTCGATATTTCCTTGTGCTTTACCCTTCGCTGGGGTTCCACTGGCAGTCTTGCATCGGCGCAGCAAGGCGCGGGCATGTGTTTTCGAGGCGGGATATGTTGAAATTCCTCGGAGGAGGTGTTTGCAAGAATCTGGCGGGCTATCTGGGAATGGGAATAACGGACCCCGCTATAAAACAAGAGTCCCCCATGATATGGATGGTTATCATGATGGTCGCATGCTTCGTGTGGAGGCATCGCGCATGAGGGTAAAAATATCGTTGTTGAACTCTCATTTCTGAAGAATAAATACTGTTGGTCCCCCCCGTCCTGTGCACATTGTTTTTTCGATTGAAGTGTCCTTCCCGGGGCTCGCACCCTGATTTTCTTCAGGGAAAGTCTTGAAAGTCAAACTGTGTCGTTGGCCCCCGGTTTACAACAACAACGGCTCCCGCCTGATACTTCCTCACAATTTATTGAAGAATCGCGCTCTCGCTTTGGACTTCCTTGCAATTTACCACCGGATCGCGGCTCCCGCTTGATACTTCCTCACAATTCATTGAAGAATCTCGCTCTCACTTGGGGCTTCCTCGCAACTTACAACCGAATCGCGGCTCGCGCCTGATACTTCCCCACAATTTATTCAGATGCCGCTCCTCGACATTCAGGAATGGCGCTCCTGCTACATATTGCCTGGCGGTTCAAGCAGAATTCACGCTTCAACGACCCGCCCGCGACCCGCCCGTCTGGGCCTGCCCGCCCGACCAGCCCGTTAGGGACTGCAGTCGCCGCTCGCTGCCCTTCGCTGCCTTCGATGCCCCTCGCTGCCCGTAATTACTGGTTCCGCGGTCGCCTTCGCTCGCTGCCCTTCGTGGCCCTGTTGCTGCCCTCAGTGGCCCCGTCGCTGCCCATTGTGGCCCCGCATTATATGCCCTTCGTGGCCCCCGCTCGCAGTCGCCCGTCGTGGCCCCATACGCATGCCCTTCGTAGCCCCGCTGGCGCCCTTCGTGGCCCTCTCGCTGCTCTTCGTGGCCCCTTTGCTGCCCTCAGTGGCCCCGCTGTCGCCCTTTGTGGCCCCATAGAAGAATGCCCTTCGTTTCGTTTTCAAGGGCTTCACCATCCACACGTGGCAGGGAATGAATCTACCCCCCAAAAGAGGGTCGATCGAAGACGAAGAGGGCGGGTGTTCATGGTTTGGGATATGCATATAGAGTGACACGCGAGCAGATAAGAGCGAACAATATTAAACTGATTATTGTTGTTGTTGTTGCTGCTGTTGTTGTTGTTGTTGTTGTTGTCGTTGTTCCCCCCCCACCCCGCCCCCCGTCGAGGTCTGTTTGCCGTTTCCCCCCCCGCGGGAGGAATCTATCGTTCTGTTCTGGATCAGCTGTTGGTCGCGCTGGACCGCGAAAGGGGACCCCCCTAAATCGACGGCACGCCTCCAGGTTGGCAGGACAAGCCGATCCGCCCCTTGCCGTCGCTCGGACGTGCATTCCCCGTACTGTTTGGTTTTCGCGCGTATGTTTTCTCAAGGTGCTCCAGGTTATCCGCCTGGCCTCGCCGAGCAGAATGCACACGTCTGGGCGATGCGAGACCGTGGGCCTACGGCGCGCCGTGCAGGGTGCTGCCGGCACGGCAGGAACCCTTGACAGGCGAGGAGCAGACGACACAACCACGGGCGGAGGAGGAGGAGGAGGAGGACCCGAAGATCCGAGGCCCCGACACAAAGGGGAGCGACCGGCTCTTTGTCAGGTTTTGGCCTCGGGAGGCCCTCAACGACGACGACGACGACGACGACGACGACGACGACGACGACGACGACGACGACGACGACGACGAAAAAAACTGCCCACAGGGAAGTGGTCCAGACCTCCAGGGGCCCACGCAGCGAGCAAAAATCAAGCGGCCGAAAGGTCAACACGCGCACACTCGCGCCTGCAGGGAGGAGGAATGGAGAAGGGCAAGGCGATGGAGGCGCCGTAGGCATGGGTGCGAGCCGTCGGATACCGAGGGGGCTCCGGTTCGAGCGGGGACCCTATCCGACAACACACGCCCATAGCCCCCTGAGGGAGGAGGGAGGAGGGAGGAGGGAGGCCCCCGAGTTCCGTCCCGAGAAGTCTGGGGGTTGCAGAAGGATGGGTGCTGGTTGTCAGCTCATGTGAACTTTTGGAGGTCCGCGCAGACTTCTTGGCACGGCGCTGGACACCCCCGCTGCAGGCAGTTCCGGAGGTGCCGTCAGAAGGGCCCAACGCCGATCTAAGAAACCCGTGCGAACCTCCGACAAGCAAACGTTTGTGCTGACTGTCCTTTGTCGACTTGGTGTAAGCACGCCCCTTGCTTGCCGCGCGCCAGCCCATGAGCCGCCGGAGGAACCCTGGGGGAATCTCTCTCGCGCGGAACGGTCCTTGTGGAAACGCCGGCCATGTGCCGCGCAGCTGCTACTGTGATGACGTTCGCCTTCTCCTGTGTTTCGTGTAGATAACGTAGATAGGCAGATTCATTATTTTATATCTTAACAATCCAGGGGTGTGCGGAGCCGCCTCCAACCCCCTAAAACGGGACCCCGTGGATCCCTGGTGAGCTTTTTTTATTCGGCGTTTCGACAGTGGGAGGAAGGGGGGATTGGGAGGGGGGGGGGCTGGCTTCGGACCTCTGCTTAGTGCGATTGTTTGCAGCAGTGCGTCCAGTATGGGGAGGCTCCACCTGCGTGAAACCGGCGCCGAAAAAAACAGCCGAGATCTACTCCAGGCGGGAGGGGAGTGCGAGGGCCCGCGCCGATCGGCAAAACAAGGAGTAAAGAAACGATCACCTGGCCGAACGTTCCCCGAGCTCCCTGGGGCTCTCCTGGACGCTCCGGCTGGGCCCAGCCAGCGGGCCCAGACTTGTCAGCAGGGCGGCCGAACGGCCGGGCGAGAGCCCCGGGCGGCCCCGGACACCCACCAGACGCCCGAAGACGACCCCAAGAAGACCCCCAAGAGGCACTGGAAATTGCAAAAACGCCTTGGTTTCCAGCGGGTTTTGCGCGATTTGGGGGAAACTCGGTTCTGCTGTCCTCTGGGCGCCCGAGACCGCCCAAGAGGCTTGAGGATCGCGCCCAAACTGTCCAAGAAGGGCTCCCTGACAATTCAGAAGAGCCCCAAGGCGGCCCAACAGGGCCCCCACACGGCCCGAAGAGAGCCCCATGACGGCCAAAGATGGCCCCAAGACGCCCCCCGAAATCCGCCGATCCGGCGTGTAAGTTTCTGAGAGCGTGGACTTGAGCTCGCTCAAGCTTCGCTCTGCAGGGGGGGGGGTACGTTATTTCCGACGTCATTTCCAACGTTTTTCGGTACACGGGGATATTTCCGACGTCATTTCCTATGTTTTTCGGTGCCCGGGGGTATAGAAAACTCCACTTCTGGAGCCCCCCCGGGTCGGCGGCACTGGCCGGAGGCCAGCTCAATAATCCAAAACGTGGCCTGGTCATTCATGGAGACCGCGGTTGGAAGTAGGGTGGCCCGAGGAAGCCCCCAGCGGACCCCAGATGGCGCCCAGGAGACCTCCAGAAGGCCCCAAGATGCCCGCAAAAATGTTCGTGGGGCCCCAGGAAATTCTCCAAGGACACGCGCCCGCAACAAACACTGGGCAGCATGGGGACGGGTTCGCAGGATAGGGCGACAATGATGGATAGTAGCAGGGAACATGAGAGAAGGATAACGGATAACATGATCTGACGACGACGTTGTAAAACGGAACAATAACTAATGTCAATGTCTACTGTGGTTCATCTCCTTTCGCCTGCATGCGAAACCTGAAGGACCAAGGTGCGTAGTGCGAAACGCCAATGCAGTCTCGTACACACACGCATATTTACACATATATATATATATATATATATATATATATATGTATATATATTTATATACACATGCATATGCGCATACACATCTGTGGTACGTACAGAGAACGGTGTATATATATATGTATATGTATGTATATGTGTATATAAGTATGTACACGTCTGTACACACAGTATGCGTGCAATTGTTGGTGCTGCTTCGTGTGCGTGTGTATGTGTGTGTGTGTGTGTGTGTGTGTGTGTGTGCGTGTGCGTTTCCCCGATGCTCCTCCTCCGCCTCCCTCCTCCTGCGCCGCCCCGATTCCGAGCTGACCCGCATGCGCGCGCTTGCGATGTCCTGGTGTCCAGGGCGCTGGCACCGCCCCCCAACTGGAGGAGGCCCGACCATCTTCCCAGGGAGGGCGGGATCTTGCTGCGCGCGCGTGAACGCGCAGGAAAGGGGGCGAGTGGGAGGCAGGCGACAGGAATCCCACCAGCCCTTTGGGGCGGCAGGCGGTCTAGCGAGGGTCTCTTTCCTCTTCCACAACCCCTCTTCTCTTCGGGGAGGGGGGCCCTCCCCCCCCCTCCCATGAGGTTGTTGCTTTTGGAGGGATCGCGAGGTGTCGGAGGCTACTTTTTTTCGGCCATTGGGAGGGCCATTTTTTGCCACCCCTCACGAGGATCGTGATCACTCCCTCCTTTGACCGACCGCCTCCAAGATGGCCCCAAGAGGCCCTCCAGGGCCCCCAAGAGGCTCCCAAGAGGGCCCAGAGAGCGCCCCAAGAAGCCCCGAGAGGCTTCCACAAGGCACCCGAGAGGTTCTCAAGAGGCCCCCGAATGGCCTCAGAGAGCCCAAGATGGCTCCCAAGATGCCAAGCGGCCCCAAGACTACTCCAAAACGGTTCGAGATGGCCACGGGGCCTCCCACGCCTCCATCGCTGTCTGACTATGCATGTCCTTTCCTCTCTCCCCCCGTCAACTCTTATGGACATCGTCTCTGGATGGGCTGGTGGGGGTTACGCGAAGCGTCAGGATTTGGAACAATGAATTCTACAGCCGCATAACCGCTACATAAGACATTCGCGACATGAGTTCCTGGTATGAAGAAGCTTTGGGCACCCTCTTCGTCAATCCTCCCCAGATGCGACGTCCTGATTTTTTTTAAGGACGGCGCCCCTGGAAGTCCCGACCCTTCCCCAGGACACTTTTTTCGTCCTTAGCCGTTTTTTGACGGTCCCGAGGCCCAGCGAAGGCCCGCAAAAGGGCAGAAAATAGTGCCGCCCTGTTTTTTTTACGACGCGATCATGTGTGGGTCGGGCTTTCCTCAAATGTCCCACGCAAGGCTTCTGTGGGTCACCGGGGCCATCGGGGGATAACGCCTTTCCGTGGGGCGCTTGCTGGCAGGCCAATGTCTGATTCTCGCTTGCCTGCTGCGCTAACAAAGCACACCCCCTGGACATCAATCTCTAAGATCTCACGCCAGTTGGCGGGTGACGAGAGCGCAAGAGGGAGGGGCGATGGGGGAGGGAAGGGGAGGGGGAGGGGGGAGGAGCAGGAGGAACAGGAATAGGAGTAGGAGTAGGAAGAGGAGAAGGAGGAGGAGGAGGAGGAGGAGGAGGAGGAGGAGGAGGAGGAGGAGGAGGAGGAGGAGGAGGAGCACAGCGCCTCATGAAGGTCTCCCGCCGCGCACGCGGGCGCGGGACGGACCACCCCCTGGCGCCGCCGACTCGCGGCGCGGCGCCGTAAGAGCAGGAGGCAATGTAGAAGGGGAGCAGCTGGAAGAAGTCGCCCTCAAGGCCGTGGACGCAGGCCAGCTTACCGCCGACGAAGAAGGCGTCGCCGCCGAAGAAGACGCCGTGTCATCAGCCCGACACGGAACGGCAACGAATCACGACATGGTCGGTCATCGCGCCGCGTGGCTGCAAGAAGAGCCACCCTGCGGGAGCGGCGCTACTGGGGTACGTCGGGCACGAGGCGCCAGGCCCTTCTCGACGCGCCTGATCGCATCTTGCTGGTTGCGGGGCGTGGACTCGTTGGGCGAGAGCCCATCGCACCTCGAGCCGAGCTTCCGCACTGCGCGGACATCTCCCGCAGCACAGTCAGGCCCGCAGCGTCTGCAACAGAAACATTGCTGCCCCTGAACACGTCGAGCCCAAGGGCGGCGAAGGCGTCCCCGACCTCCTCGGCCAGGGCAGGTGGCAACAAGGCTGCGGGGGTCGAGGGCTGTGAGCCCCCTTCGAGCGCCAAGGCCGCGCCCAGGGCCGTGCCAGCCCTCTGGTCGCTGCAGGGAAGCCAGCCCTCGCCGAAGGCGCGGAAGTACTCGGCGTTGAGAGCACTGGCAACACGCGAAGGGCGACTCGAGGGAGGAGCCCGTTGTGGCCGTGACTCCGCATTGGGTACATCGGTACCACCTGAGGCTGGCTGCCTGCCAGCACAATGGGCCTGGCCTGCTCGCAACGCGGCCTGGGGGCCTCCACGTCGCATCCCCTCTGTTTGCGAGCCACCACCTGCAGTGCCGCCCACGAAATGAACTGCAGGACCTTGCGGTGCTGTTTCAGCGCAGCTGTCGCCGCCTTGGCTACCGACCCAGCCAGCGCGTGAGAGGCCGCACCACAGCGCGCAAAATAGTCTGCCCAGCAGTTGCCTAGCCAGTCACGCAGCTCCTGCGGCCCTGTGCCCACGAGCTCCTCCAAGGACCTGTGCGCTGGCGTCCGTCGGAACTTGGGGGGGGTCCCGCAGAGTGCGCCTGCGGCTGGCCACGAAGATGTCCCGCCACGCTCTAGCATGCTTGGCGCGACCCTGCTCGAGCTCGGGGCACCGACGCTCTCCTTCCTGGGCGAGCGCCAGCAGGTCGGTGACGAAGCGCTGGTGGTCAGGGAAAGCGTCGAGCACATCCCTGATCGCGTACCTCTCAGCACGGCCGACAGTCCGCGCCAAGTACGGAAGGGGCCCGGAACGCGCCCCAACTGGGAACCAAGAAAAAGGATCAAGCTGCACAACTGCTTGTCCACACATCCGCACCTCGGGAACACCTGAGTCGCAACCAGACCCGTCGGCGTAAGAAACGGGGCCCCAAACGCCATGGGCGTCGCCCCAAAGGCAGACATCATGCCTCCGTGTATCTGCGTGTGGCAGATCGGCGGGAGGCTCGGGCATGCCAAAAACGAAGTGGGACTGCTCGAAATTCGGCGTACCTGATCCAAGACCCGCTTGAATAAGCCGGTCGCGCGCCTCAGCCAGTACTTGAGGGAGGTGGAAGAGACCGCGGCCATTCAGCGTTGGCGTCGCTGTCTCGGGCCCGCCATGCCCGCATGGCGCAACAGGCGCCGAGGCTGAAGCCGCCGCCGCAGAGGACAGCGGGTCACTCTGTTCCGAAGCAACCGGTGGCGCACAGAGGACACTTTGCTCGTCCAGCCGCGCCTTCTCCTGATGGCCGTCGCGCCCGCCGGGTGGCACAAAGTCGACCTCTTCATCGACCCCTTGCCCGATGCATGGAATGAAGTCGTCCTCGGCCTCCGTGATGCTGGGCTGCTGGGCGCAAGTGTAGGGCGGCAGGGTCGGGTCGGCCCGGGGAGGCGGTCGTGAACCTGCCGGCGCAGGTCGCCGAAACCCTGCTGTATTCCAGGAGCCCTTTTTGGGGGTGCAAAAGGGTCCTCGAAGTGCCGCGCGTGTTCTGCGCTTGTCGCAGGCCTTGGACTTGGTCCGTCGGCTCCTGCTCCATCGGTCGTGTCTGCCCTGCGGGGGGGCGGGTCGGCAGTGCCGGGCGTTCCAGGAGGACGTGGCCCCCGCATTCATCCGGCGCAAGGGCCTTCCCGCAAGCCTGACAAGGGCGTGTGGGCATGCCTAGCTTCATGTCCCCGCGGATCGGCATGGGTACGTTGTCAGACCATAGCGCCTGTAAAACTCCTAGCTCCCATGCGGCGCGGACGCCCTCGACCGCGCGCCTGGGCCTGCGGTGCCAGATGGGCGCACCAGCGTGGAAGTGCATGTGGCTGGTGAGGCGGCCACGCTGCCAGCGCTGCGCGCCTTGCACCAAGAACTGTCGTAGGTCAGCCGGGCGCGCGCGGTGCAGGTAATACTGGTTGCCCAGGTCGTCCTGCGCAACGTGCGGCGTTTTCATGTCCCAGGCTAGCCGCCTGAGCGTCAACCACGTCGCGGCCAGGGGGCTTTGGCATTGGCCCAACTGATAGGGGCAACCCGCTCATGGAGCGCTGTCCAAGCCCTTTGAAGGCGGCTAGGTGACGTACGCCCATCCCATATCCAGGCGGCGTAGTTCAAGACCAGGTCCAGCGCGGCATGATTGACGGGGTCGTACTCCTCCGAAGGGTGAGTAAGGAGGTATGCCATGACGCCCGCATGCTGTTCGTCACTGCGCCCGTTAGCACCGCGGCCGCGCCCGCCAACCCCGACGCTCCAGCCCCGTGCCCTGCGGGCGGCATGAGCCCAGTCCGCCACAGGATGGAGGCCTTGCGCCCTACCGCGCGACGCAGCATGAGGAGCCGGTGCTTGCGCTGCCGCGCGGCCTTCAGGCGCTGCTTCTCAGCCTTCCTCAGCACTCGAGGGCCATACAGCTCATGGCCAAGGTTGCGCATGTGTCGGGCTTCGGGCACCGCCCGAGGCATCCGCCGCTGGGCCCTGTGCGCCACAAGGCGGGCCTGCGCTGACCCAGCCACCGCCGCGGACTTAGCAGGTTGGAGAATAAGCCCGAGGGCCCTGGCCCCTGCAGCGAGCACCATCGCAGTGCGCAGCAGCAGCTTGACATCACCGAGGTCGGGGGAGGACATCTGCAGGCCGATGTCGTCCACCAGCGAACGTGGCTTGATGGTCGGCGTAACCCTGCTGGCCCGCTGGGTGGCGCGGTACGTCAGCAGGTAAACGAGGTAGGTGGCATGTGTGCACCCCGCCAGCACCCCCGAAAGGCGACGAAGGAGCACGCGAGGCTGCCGCACGCCTCGATGCGCCGTGGCTGCTGGTAGAGCTGCAGCAACATCCAGAACAGGCGTATCGGGAAACCCAGCTCCCGTGCCTCCCGCATGAGCGCATGGGGACTCACCATGTCAAAGCATTGCACCATGTCGAGGAGGATGGTGCAAGTGTGGTCGCCGATGAGGCTTCCCACCTCTTGCTCCAGATTGTGGGCGAAGGCGGAGGCCGTGGAGGTGCGGCTGCCTCGAGTATCCCACATCTCGTCGCAATTATGCTGACGTTGCCACTCTGCCAACAGCCATCGGCGTGCTTTCGCCCAAGCTCGTATGAGAGTATGGCTAAGCACAATCAGCCTGTGGCCACCATCTGGCTTAGGGAGACGGGCCATCTCATTATGCAGGCGGTCTGAGGGAAACCGTAAGTGCCGCTCAAAAACCTCGAACATCTGGGCCAACCTCCTGAGAGCCTCATCTGATATGTGCTCGAGCGCCCGCGGTGGAATGCGGGTGGGCCCCGAGGCGGTGACGAGAGAGCACAATCGGATGGCCTGCCGTCGGTCATGGACCGTCAGGCAGGGCAGCTCCCCCCCAAGTAGGTGCGTCCGTGGGTTGAGGCAGCTCTGCTAGCCCATGGGTCGCCCAGATCCGCTTCCACTCGCCCATGGTGCGGTCCGCGAGGATGTATCGCTGGGCGACGGCCTCAGGGGCAACGAGCTCTTGCTGCGCCCTGACCTTGGATGCAGCATGGGCAGCCTTCGCTCCCCCATTGAAGGCCGCCTGAGCCCGGCTGCGCCAGGCTCTCTCCGACGCGCCGCGAGCCGCGGCAGTGAGGTCCTCCGCGCGGCCCACGATGGCATCTGCCATGTCATCAAAGTCCTCCGCAATCAGCCCGCCCAGCCCGCGCAGGAAGAACTGGCGGTAGCAGGGGTCGATGTTCGCGAGGACTTTGTCCTGCCCGACAATTGAGCTCAGGACGCAGAGGTTGTCGTAAAAGACGCTGGCCGTCTTCTGCAGCTGCCTGGGAGCTGGAGACGCATGCGCCGCCACCGCATTCAACCGGTGACAAAAACGCTGGGCCCGATCACCCTCGGCACGAAGGTGTCGCCCAGCGTGCCGCAGTAGCCCGCGCCCAGACTGCGGTGTTGTGGTACAGCCGCTTGCGAGGCGGCTCCCGCCGCAACTGCCGCCTCTTCACCTTGGGGGGGCCGTGGTGCCCGACGAATCGGTTGGCTCCAAGGCCAACTTTGTCGTGCCTGCCTACGATCTCGTAGTCGATGCCCTGCATAACGGAATCCCAGAGCTGCTGCAAGGCATCATCGGGTGTACCTGCCTGGCCGACGGCCTGTCCATGGGCCCAGGTCCGACGGCGGCAACGTTGGCCCGCGCGTCCCGAACGATCGCGCTTAGTTTTGCTTAATGGACCAAAGTGATCGACGGACCTGCATCGGTCCCGATCTGGCCTGGACTGGACATGGTCCGTGCCAGCAACCCTTTGCGGCGCGGTGGCTGCTCGCACAAATCGGTTATCCAAAGTACGCCAAGGATGAGAGAAACGAGCACAGCCAACAGGGGGTACAGCAGGCAACGGTCGAGGCTCATCGGGGACGCGGCACCGCGTCGGCGTGTCCTTCCCGTGCAGCTCCAGACCCACAGGGTAGTGAGGTCTGGGAATGCTCCCACATCCATGTATCACCTTGGGCTGGCGAGAGACTCGGGACGCAAGATTGCTGGCCACCAAGAAGTAGTCGATGGTGGACACTCCATTGGAAGTGATGCACGTAGGGGCCGACGGCTGGAGGGGAGTGCCTGCCAAAGACCCAACCCATTCGCCAATGTTGATGCTCTGGCCGTCGGCCTTCCAGTCACCCCCGATGATCCAGTCGAAGCCGCGTGCGTTCCACGCCGCCACGCGCTTCGCAAGCGCCCATAGGATCGAGAGGCTGGCCCCAGTGACGCCGATGCCCTGAACCATGTACACGCTGACGACAGTCAGACCACCAGGGGCACCACAGTGAACATGAGCTGCCACAGCATGGTGGGGAAAGACGACATGACCCCCATCAGGGGGCATCGTGACCATCACGTTGGTAGGCACGAGCACGCAGACCCCACTGGAGCACGACGCCGCGGACGCTCCTCCCGTCTCCTCGGCAGGAGCCCAGAGGCCGTGCCAACTTGCATCGCGCACAGCAGGTTGAACAGCCCCAAGCCGCTGGTCGACCACCCGCGTCTCTCCTGGATCATCACCACCTTGCCGAGGAAGTGCGGCAAGACGTTGAGACGTGGCCCGTGAGAGCCAGGGTTGACCGTGACCAGCTTGGCCGCCACCTGACAGTGCGCGTCGCCAGCATCAGGCATGGCCGTGCTGGGACCCTGCACAAAAAGGATCGTGACCCTCTGGCATGCTTGTGTCTCTGCCGCCAGCTCGGTATCGAGGTGGTCCGTTCCGCCAGTTGCGAAGTAACCCCGCGGTCTGGTCAGCCACCGAATTGGTCCTCCCACCGATGTCGGGGGCTCCTGCAGAACCCACCTCGAACCGGGTCATGGATAGGCACCAAAACAGCACGAAGGTCCATCCTCGCGGGCGCGCCGCACACGGTGAAGACGCGTAGACTGGAGTACAGGTCGGCGGCGGCGGGCTGGAGCAGTAGTGGCCACTGGCGGAAGACACACTGTGCTCTTCGCCAAGTGGAGGCGGACCCATGCAGCCAGGACCCAAAGCTAGCAACAGCGTGTACATAGTACGTGCTGCCCTGTGGGCGCCCCTCGTTACCTCTGACATTCCGTACGTGGTACGTCCTGCCAGGAAAGTCCCAACTGACAGTCTGTACATGGTACGTGCTGTCAGTGCACGGGAAGCCACAGCTGACATTCCGTCCATGGGACTTGCTGTCAGTTTGATGGCGGCACAGCCCGTCACAACAGGCTGGCGCATTGCAGGAGGAGGAGGAGGTAGAGGAGGAGGACGAGGAGGAGGAGTGATGATGAGGGTGGAGCGAGGGGGAGTGAGGAGTGAGCACGACGGAGGATGAGAAAAAGGAGGTCACCAGAGGAAAGGAGGGAGGAAATGAGGGAGGAAAGGAGGGAGGCGACTCAGCAGCAAGGGGAGGAGACACAACGGCAACGAGTAAGCCGAACAATGATGAACCCAATGGCTCGCGCATTGCTCAAACATGTACGTGTGCGGAGAGGAGGAGGAGGCAAGAGGAGGAGGAGGAGAAGTAGGAGGCGGAGGATAAGGAAGAGACGGGCGTGGGGATTATGGCAGTTGGCGGTGATAGGTTTGAATGGCGCAAGGGCGACCAAATCGAAACGTGGAAACATGACCTTGAAAGACCTGGCTTGACCACGAGCCTGGCAAGGAACACCATGTACGATCCAAATGCCAAATACAACTGCGCTGGCAAAAACGACAACTTGACTTGCGGGCAGGATCGAACCGTGAATTCACGGCCACTAAAATAGACAACCAGGCATACGGAGATGCGTCTGCGGCCTTCGGCCCCAAGATGCCCCCCCTTGAGGCGCCTATTGGACAAGGCTCCCCCAGATGTTTTTTTTGTGTCCAGCCATCCTGTGGTGTTGGGTCCTCGTGTTGAAGAGACAACGCCCCGCGTCCTCTCCTCTCCTCTCCTCTTCTCTCCGCTCCGCTCCCCTCCTCTCCTCCTCCCCCCCCTCCCGTCTCCCCATCCTTGCCCCTGCCAGCCGCATGCCAACTTCGGCACACCCCTCACACTTCCGTGTCGTCCTGGGGAGCTCCACCGAAGGCCCCAATGTTGCAGGGTTGGCGTTTGTGGCTCCTCGCCCACGACACGTCCATGTCTGCACACCCCTCACGCGTGTCGTGGCCCCATGGAGAGCTCCACCGAAGGCCCCAGCTGCAGGGTTCGCATGCGACCTCCCGTCCACCACATGTCCGTGTCGGCACACCCTCGCACGTGACGTGGCCTCACAGGGAGCTCTGCCAGGGGCCCCAGATGGCAGGGTTCGCATGCGGCTCCCTGCCTCCAGCGAGGACGACACTTACAAATGCGTTGCTCAGAACTGCATCTGTTTGGGTCCTTCGCCAGCACAACTTTTTAGACGATATAGTAATTATTCACCATCATCGCCGTCAGCATGCACATCGTCATCGTCTTCGACAGCATCGTCGGTGTCGACTAGACAAATTCTGGAACGCCTTCTTCCAGGCTCCATTTTCCGAACGGGTTCTTCTGGGACACCTTCCTCTGGAACGAAGTCATCCGGGGCGACTTCCTCTGGAATAATTTCATCAAGGACGATTTCTTTTGAAGCGAATTCTTCCGGATCGAATTCATCTGGAACGAATTCTTTCGGGCGGATTCTTCCAGCACGGATTCATCTGTAACGACTTCTTCTGGAACGAAACCGTCCGACACGAATTCTTCCAGAACGGAGTATTCCGGAAAGATTCGTCCGGATAGACTCATGTGATCCTAAGTCTTCTTCGGACCAATCCGTCATCCGCAGAATATTCTTGCACAAGCAGATACATCCGAACGAACTCATCTGGGCGAATTTATCTGGACGGCTTCATCCGACTTCGTGCGGACAATTTCATCCGGACGAATTCGTCTCGAATAACGTTCTTCTGGATGACGCTGTCGCGGATGAAACCGTTCAGGGTGAACTGGTCGTCCTCCGTGTGGGAAGTATGCCAGGACCCAGGGCGGTGACACCGACTCGCGGACGTCGCGGCCCTGGTCCTCGGGGTGATATCGCGGGGGTCCACCTGAGGTTTCCAGTGGGCCCACCTGAGATTTCGAAAGGCTTCAAGCTAGTGCGCCCTGACAAGCCGTCAGAACAGCTCTCCTGAAGGGCAAACCGCGCCTCTCGCGCGTCCGCCCAGGCGGGAGCTGCATCCTGACGCTGAGGGATACGTAGTATTACGGTGTGCAAAAAAATCTGCTATACTAGGCTGTGTGCCGCCGTCAGGCGCTGACTCTTCGGGTCAGTCTTACGCCCTTGTCATCGACCTGCCATGGGCAAGACACTTTAAATAAGTGCTTTGCCGCTTTGGGGTCGTGGGTCGAGCTCACAGCCGCGTGGCAGCGCGAGAGGAGATTCACAGGAGAAACCACAGCCTTTCGCTCGGGAAATTCGTGGTCAGCCTGTGTGGCTCTACGCAGCGGATAGACAACTTTTGAAAACAGCCCCACTAAGCATGAAGTGTTACTAGAGGAAGTGAAACCGCCATAAGTGTAAACTGTTGGCGCTCCGCGCGGATTTCTTGGATCTGGTCTGCACCACCCTCCCTGGCGCGCGGAGCGCGCCCGGGGCGGAGCCGGAGGCGCCGCCAGGGGGGCCTCGGCGCGGATCCAAGAGATCAGCGCGGAGCGCCAAACGTGTGTGTGTGTATGTTTGTGGCGTTCTCGCTTCTTCGAATGAAGCGTCGCCTGCGCCAGGGGAAGACGTCCCAGACAGCGGGTGCCGCCATGCATGAGCTCCACTGGCCCTCGGCCTCGGACCGCGCGCCCAACTGCGCTGGCCCGGCCGAGGAGCCGCGGCGGAGCCGCGCCGGGGCGCCGTGGTGGAGCCTCGCGAGCGCAGTGGCCGAGCAACATCGGGGGGGGGGGGGGGGGCTTTGAGGGTGTGAGGGGGGAACTGCTGGGGGGGAACTGGGGGGGGAACTGGGGGGGATGCATCATACTTCGCTGGGAAGGGTACAGCGTAGCATGACATATCACACTATGATCCATGTGCCTTGCAGTTCACCATCAAGCGCCACCATAACATAACAACGCAAGTCACAGCATTGCCATTTTGGCACCATCAACTGGCAGCCAAACATATGTGCACCGCACATCATACACACATCATGTCCGAACATAACTGAACAAAACCCTTTATATACTACGGCATACTGCAGAAACACAAACAAAGCATTACATCACATATCTGACCGCAACACAGCGAAGCATACTGTGACAGAGCGGGGCGTGCCATAGTCCAACATAACAGAACGTACCACTACGACATAACCGACATCGTATCATACTGCACTAAAACTCACTGGCAATATCACACAACTGAACAATGCTGTAAGACATAACATCGCCGGAATGCTCTATCAGAACACGGGTGCAACACCAGAACGATCCCATCAATCCTTTAGGGCGTGAATGGTTTGAAGCGTCCCCTCTCCCCCCGTCCTCTTCGGGAAGGGGTTATCCCTTCCCCTACCCCCCTCACCTGGACCTGGACAGGGGGGGGGCAGTTAGGGCGTCCAAGGTGGCCTCGGCGAGAAGGCCAACATCATTGAGTGTACTAAGGTTTTGGCCCAATTTGGGCCTCTTTGGTGGGGACCCTGACTAAGTACCCCCCCCTTTGATCGACTTCTTTTGAGATGGGCCCCGAGGCTCCACCAGTGCCCAAAGAGGACCAGAAGAGGCGCCCAGGAAGCCCCCAAAGGCCCCCAAGAGGCCGCCGAGGGGCCCGAAGAGGCTCCGCCGAGGCACCCACGATGCTTCAAGACGGCCCTGTGACCGCCAAGAGGCCCTCAAGGCGCTCGCACAGGCCTACAACAGGCTCTCAAGAGACATACGAAGAGACTCCGAGAAACATCCAAGATGCCTCTGGCCTTTCTGTTCGGCCTCCTCCTCTTCCTCTCCCTCGTCCCCCTAATCCTCTTCCCTCCTCCCTCCTCCCTCTTCCCTCCTCCCCCTCCCCCTCCTCCTCCTCCTCTTCTGGTTCCTCCTCCATCCTCTCTCTCTCTCTCTCTCTTGGGGTCTGGCGGGTTCCCAGCCTTTCTTGCGCTGTTCGCTCCCCACATGCCTGATACAACAACAACTCGTCTGGGCATTGTGCCTGGTTGGGCTGGTGGGGTTAAGGAAAGTGTCTGGAATAGAACCGTCAGCCAATATGTATATATGAATGCGGCTTCGGAATGCCATAGGACCTGCGGGTAAACACACACACACAGTTCTGTGGGTAACAAACACACAGTTGTGGGTAACAACGCACACACCTGTGTGTTTTTATCCACAGTTGTGTGTGTTTGTGTTGTTGTGTGTTCTTTTACCCATATGTACATATGAATGCAGCTTCGGAATGCCATAGGACCTCCTGCTCATCACAAGATGGGAGAGGCGGGATCCGAGCACAGACGAGCACCCCATGTCCGAATACGACATACACTAGTACATCGCAGAACACAATACACGTGAGTTATGCAGTAGATGCTACATTTGAACGTCACACGACATCGCATTACCTATATGTATGCATATATGTGTGTCATAACACAACATCGCGTAACACATGTTCAAGCCGTCCAACATCGAACATGGCTGAACACAACATAACACACATGAGCGACCGATGTACGGTGCCCCAGCAACCGACGTGCGCGCCGGGGTCTGGCGCCGGCTCAGCAACAGAGAGGCGCAACAACTTTCGACTGGCCGACGTAACGAACGTGTCAAATGTCACGACGTAACGCTGGCCCGACGTCCACAACATAACGTAACAGATTAGATCACAGCATAATCGAATCTGAAACATATGACATACAGTAGGTGAAGGCATCCGACTACAACGCCCAGCGAGTATCGGTGTCTTAGCGCGCCGAGGTCAGGCTGGCCACTATGGCAAACAGTGCCAGGCTCGGGAACAAACGCCGAACGCTTCGGGTGTGATAACTCGAAACAAAATACTCGTTTGATCCATACCTCGGGCTCCGAGGGGGTACTTTGGCACCGCTATTGCGGCGAGCAAGCAATCCATTCGGGCGTCGTGCGCTCTGGTGCAACAACCCCGCGCGACGGAACGACGGAACACAACCCCGCGCCCCGGAACGTGCGGGAACGAAAAAATCTACCGAACTAGAGCCCCTCTGAACGCAGGAGGCCACGATGAGGTGTTGCTCGTTTGCTGGCCGTGAGACCGAGATGTCAAGAATCGGACATCTACCTCGAACACTACTCCTCTCCAAGGCGGCAAGCTCGACAGCAACAAAGAATCCGGGAAATTCTTGGCGCGGTGTGCCTGGGCTTGCCATCGCTCGGACGTGCATCCCCTCTGCATTTTCCGGTTTCCTGCGTGCATGTTTTCGCAGGGTGAGCAACAACTCTCATCGATGGTCCTGGCCGAGAAAAAATGCACATGTCCGAACGATGCCAATGGGATATGCTGGGAGCCCCGTCAATCAACGCGCGGCGCCCGCCTTTAAAGCCGGCCCGGTCGCGCCCCGTCGGGCGCTTGATCACGACGGCGCCTGCGCCAGGCAGCGACATGCTGCGGCCACCTACGGCAAGTGGCCTCAGACCCCCGAGACGTTCATGCCGTAGTCCCACGTCCATTCGGGCGCCGACATCGGATGCGTCCCTGCTGCGACCTCGGCCTGCAACGTCTCGTTGCAGAGGTCCGGCGGGTCGCCGTCGTAGAAGCGGTAGCAGTCGAAATCGCACGGCGGCTCCTGGTCGTCGAGCTCGTCCTGGGGCGTGTCAGGGTGCTTCTTAGCGAACATGTGCCTGGCAGCTTTGAGCCTTTCGTCGCAGTGGTCCGTGCTAAACTTCTGGTCCCAGAATCCGCATGACTTGCCGACGTCTGGGGCTCTTTCGTACTCGCGCCCTCCCTGGCGAATGAATGCATCGTAGTCCTTAATGCCTGCCAATTCAGAAATGTCGATTTCCCCTGCGAGCTCGTAACTGTAGATGCAGTCTGGTTCGCCTGTAGGAACGATATCGCCCTCCCCGCAAAAAGATTCAGCAGGTAGGCTATACCATCGAGCTCCACGATAATGGTTCGGGTACCCCTGAGATGGCATTGGGAACGGGAAGTGGTTCAGGTAGTTACAGCCCACGAAGAAACCATATTTCTTGTAGAACGGATCGCATGAGCCTTTGCCCTGTAAGTCTTGCCCTACGCCAAAGCCATTACACATTCCAGCATCGTAAGAAAACCGCACGCCAAAATGCATCCCGATTGATAACAGCTTGTCCGGAGCTGTTACCCTGAACCGGGCTCGGACGATACGGGAAATACCAAATTTATTGGGCGTTTCAACGACTACCTCATTGTGCAGGTACCACATTACTCCAGCAAGATTACCGATATTCACATTTTTTAACTGGAACTTGTCATCTGACGACACGGCACGGTATCCGAGGAATGTATAAATTGGGACTCTCTCCACCGAGATATGCAGGTGACAACTTTTGAGGCCCATGTAACTACCAGATGTCTCACTGATGTTAAACGTACCGCATGTCGAAGTCTTCTTCGAAGTAGCCACAACTCTTCTATTCGCTATTTCAACATATTTGCCGGACGACGTCTTTAATGCGATGAGAAGTGGGTCCCCCGAAACGTGTTCAATGGTAAACCGTTCTGACCTCTCGATGTTTGTGCAATTCGCAGTGATGGTGCCATCCGGGTCAACCGACAAATAGGTACCGTACCAAGAAGCCAAAGCTACTTCACCCTTGCCACGTGCGAGCGTTCTGAACAACGCCTTTGAAGAAAATACCTCACTGGAAGCAACCGCGTACCTGTGATCTCTCTGCATTAGCTGCTCCGCATCCAAATACGTACCATCCCACATGCGCAAAGCGACAGTACCATCTGGATTTAGGCAAGTATCAAAGATCTCCCTCGCGCCTACCTTCAGGTAGCTCGCATCAAGCATACCATCTCCCAAAGCGCTGACGAAGTAACCGCTGGAGGTTCTCAGAGACACCTGGCATTCCCCCTGATGAAAAGCCGTGAAGTGGCCGTCCACGACCGAGTCCTCGGAGCTGTTTTTCTTGCCCATGATGTCTTTCTGCAGGAGGATGTTCCTGGTCTCCCTGTGGGCTACCAGGTAGAGGCCGCGCGAAGTCTTCAGCGACACGCTCCCATCGTCAACGTGCTCGACCTTGAACGACTTCGACGACTGGCCCGGGGTGCTCGCCATGTGGAGCTGGCGCGGCTTGTCGAGGTGCTGCAGCTGGCAGCGCTCTGGCATCCCGCTCGGGAACTTTGCCCAGGCGCTGCCAGTCTCGCCTGGCGCCCTCTCCGGAGAAGCTCCGTGCGGCCTGCGGGGGGGACCCACAGCATCTGCATGCCGCTGTAACACATATAACTGCAGCCACACCACGACGAGCAAGACGAGCACGACGAGCAACGCTCCGATCAACGCAGCGACGCCTTTGTTGCGCTTCACGGTCTCGTGCAGCTTCGCGGAGGTTTTCTTCACGGTCTCGTGCAGCCTCGTAAAGCCTTCATTCCTCACACCGCTCGCGTTGCCCACGTCGTTCAATGGCACAGCGCGGTCATCAGGACCTCCGGGCACCGACGCCCAATCATCGGGTATGACAGGCATCGAACGGACAAAATGTCTTGAGCCCGCAGGGGGGAGGCTCAGGACGATCCCCACTTGATCGGTGAAACGCTTGAGCCAACATGGCTACGGATGGAACTTGTGGGGAAGGAATTGGGGGGGGGACTTTGGGGGGAGAACTTGGAGGGGAACTAGGGAGGGACTCGGGAGAGGGAACTTGGGGGGGATCTCGGAAAAGTGGGAAATTGGGGGGGAACTTGGAATGGGGGAATTGGAACGTGGGGGGGAACTTGGGAGGGGAGGGCCGGGGGGGAACTTAGGTGGGGAATTCGGAGGGGGGACTTGAAGGATAATTTGTGGTGGGGGGGACTCGGGGGGGATCTTGGGGGTAACTCGGGAGGAGAACTCAGGGGGGCAACCTCGGTGGGCATTTTGGGGGGGGAACTTTTGGGGAGGAGCTTGTGGGGGGGACCTTGGGGGGAACTTGGAGGGGGGGGACTTGGCTCGGCGGGAACCCTCGGGATCTCTCGGGGGGATCCCTGGGGAGCCGTTCCCCCCCCCGCTTCGAATCCGCTGGAGCCCTCGGGAGTCCTCGGTGGGAGCCCTTAGGAGCTCTCGGGGGGGAGCCCTCGGAAGCCCTCGAGGGGGGAAGCCTCCCCCAAGTTGCCCTTCAACTCGCCCCCGCAGGGGAGGAAATCCTCCCTCAAATTCCCCCCGCTTCGAGCCCGCAGGAGCCCTCGATTGGAAGCCCTTCGGCGCCGAGATGCCGAATGGTGGGGCGGGGACGGGCAACCTCGCCGCACCTCGAACGCTCTCTTGAAGAGTCGGCTGCGCCGAAGACGGTGATGGCGACGGCGACGGCGACGTTGACGGTGCGTGTGTGTGTGTGTGTGTGTGTGTGTGTGCCGCCCCATGTTGGCCACGACTGTCGCTTCAATATCAACCCTTGTGACGCGAACACATTGGACGGCATCTTGTCTTGAGATCTGGGAGATGAAGGAGGGGCTCCAGGCGTGGCGGAGCCGTGCAGAAGCGATCCTCCCCCCTCCCAGTCCTTCATCTCCATGTACCTGTACATGGAGGCGCTCTGGGGCACGTCGATCGTCTGCATGGATATATAGTGGAGGCAGAAGATCTTGGACCCCTTGAAGCCGACGACGAAGCCCTCCCGGCCCGCACGGCCCTCCCGCCCTTCCCCCGCGTGTGCGCGCGCGGAAGCGAGCGAGCGCAGGGGAGAGGGAGCACCACCGGGGGGGGGATGATGGAAGAGGAGGAGGTGGAGGGGGAGGCGGGGCAGAGGAGAGGAGGAGATGGAGGAGGAGGGAGGGACGGAGGGATGGAGGGAGGGGTGTGGGGAGATCGGATCGGGGAGGAACGGGGAGGGACGGAATGAGGTCTGGGGGAAGCAGAAGGAGAAAGGAGATGAAGATGATGATGCTGATTATGCTGCTGATCATTCTGCTGGTGATGATGCTGCTGCTGATGAGGACGGTGGTGAAAATGATGAGGTATGTGTTGATGACGAGGTATGTTGATACTGATAGATGAGGGTGGTTGCGTAATGATGGTGAGGGTGATGGGAAGGAGGACGAAAAGGAGGGTGGAGAAGGCGGGTGGAGGAGCATGGTGGATTGATGATGACGAAGGATGAAGGATAATGGAAGAGGAGAAGGAGGAGGAACTACAATGGTGGTGGTTGGTTTGAACGAGGGAGAAAGCATGGCGGTGGTACTGGTGCAATGCGTACTTGTTTCCTTTTCAATAGAGCTGATGTTCGCTCAGGAGCTTGAGCCTAACCGCGGCAGCTCATCCGATTCGAGACGCGATTGTAGGGCGATCGAACAACTTTGGCAGAGACAAGGGGACGAATGAAAGGGGAAACCATAATTAAGTGCCCAACCACCGCACAATCCCAACACGTCCAGGATCGGCCGACGCCCTCTGGTCACACGCTGGGTGTCGCGGACGGCGGGCTCAGAGAGCACGCCCGTGCTCTCAGAGATGGCGCTGGGCAGCTCCTCGCAGAATTCGTGCGAGCAGCCCGGGGCCACTGCCGTGAGGTGTGGGCACCGAGCCGCATACGAAAGGGTCTGAGAGCCTAGCGCGAGCGACGTCCGAGCATGCTGGTGGCCTGGGGGGCTGTGGAGGACAACGCGGCAGGATGACAGCCGATAGCCTCCTCCGACGGGCAGCCACGGAAGGGGAGCAGCACGGAGCAGACCTTGATGGGCCTGGTGCCGCCTCTTGCCTGCCTGGCCGAGCTCAGTCCATGTCCGAACTTTCCTCGACAGGCTCAGGCGGGAGACATGTGTGTGTGTGTGTGTCTCTCTCTCTCTGACGGCGTGCCCTACCGCTCAGGCTCTGCTGTGGGCGTCGAGGGCTGGTCATCTCCCTGAGCGGTGTCGCGGGGTGTGCGCTCTGCTGTGGCCTGGCGGTCGCGGCGCCGTTTCGCTTTGCCTTCTCTTCTCGGCGAGGGGTTTGAGGCCGCGGCGGTGGGAGAGGCCGCGTCCTCCTCGGGCGCGGGCTCGGGCGAACCCTGCGCCCCGGAAGGAAGCGCTCTGCCCTGATTGCCCTTGCTGACGCCCGTGCCGCCACTGGTCGTCTCGAAGGCGGACTGGCCCTGGCAGCCGATCGGGGCGAGTCTCCCCTCAAGCCCTGGCGGAACTGGGGGGGCTGCGGTGGCCACTCGCGGAGTAGCCGCGGCAGCGGCGGTCCCCCGAAACCTTTGCGGCCGCGCGACGCCGACCGCGACCGAGGGCTGCCGTCGCCGCGGGCGGCCTGCTGCGCGTGAGTCGCGCAAGCGCTGTCTGCCGGGGACGGCCCCGCCGCCGCGAAGTCCGCCACGTGCGGCTGGAGCAGATGGGGTCATGCGTCGGCGAAGGCGGGTATGGAGGAGGAGAGCGGGCACCAGCTCGCGCCACATCGCCGACGCATCAGCGCCGCGGCACGATCCTCCGAACCCATCTGCTCCGCAATGTGGGATGCTTGGACAGGGGCACCATGGATCCTCGATCCCCCTCGAAGGAAGAAGAGGAAGAGGGAATGGGAATGGGAATGGGAAGGGGAAGGGGTCATGGGCGGCAAGTCCACCTGCCGCCGCGGCGGCAAAGAGGGCCGAATCGCTCTCCAGCGGCCAAAGCCCTTCGGCCTTGGCATCCCGCTTAGCCAGCCTGCGCTCCCGAGCCCACTTGACCGCCGAATCGGGCGAAACAAAACCTTGCAGGCGTTGGGCCAGGTCCAGGACGGGGACGTCCGCCCCGTATCGGTGGAAGCTGGCAGGGTCCCTGGACCCAACAGTGGGCCGAGCCCCATGGGGGCCCGCGCGCGAGCTCTGGCGAAGGCCCAGCCACAGACAAGGGCCCAACACCGCCGCCCCCAGACAACGCAGCACTGTGCCCCATCAGCTTCCCCTGCAGCCAAGCTACTTACACTCTCGTCCTCGAGGCCTCTAAACAACGACAGCCTAGGAGGGCGAGGAGCCGAGGGATGAAGGGACCTGCGGAGGCGGGAACTCTAGGTCTTAAGCCCTTGGCGCTCGGTCCCCAGGCAGGCTCCCGCAAGGCCTTTGCTGGAAGGGCCGTTGGTCAACCGGCGCCCCACAGGCTTTCCAAGAATACAAGCGCTGTCCCTCGGACCCGATCGACATCGCACTTGACCACTGAGTGCCCTTGACACGGCCACGGCCACCCATGAACAACCCCAAGCTCAACCCCCGCCACATCAGTGGGCACGGGCTCGGGCGCTGGCGGGAGAGAGGCTGGGGCTGCCTGCTTACAACCGAAACCATCTCGGGCTTGGAGTGATGCCTCCAGGCTTGTTGCTTCAGGGCCGGCCGTGTCATGTTCAAGGTCCAGGACAATGCCTGGAGTGCCTTCGACACGTTCAGTATCCCAGGCTTCCTTATCTCCAATCCAGGCACGTATGAGACTTATCCTATGCAGAATCGCGCTGGCCATTTTCTCACACGATTCAACCAACAAAACACTCCCTGGCGGTGTTATCCAGAGCAGGGCCCTTTTTCCTAGCCCAGCGGCCCGCAAGACTACTGTGACACCTGCGCCAAGTGCAGAGCACGAAGCATGTGGCTTTCCACTTTTTGGGGCAACCGCGCTATCACCAGAACTGCTTGCCTGGGTTCACCGGGCCGAAGGCGTTGGAGGCAGCGCGCGCACGATATGGTGCCTGCGGGCGTGGCCCAGGGAAGTAACAATGAGCGGGCCGGGAGCGGCAGGCTCCCCCCAAAAATCTGGCGAGCGCGTGGAGCGCGTGGCCCTCGGCATCTCCGGGGGGCCGTGAGAGCGACCGGGTGAGAGGCGCAGCGCCGTGCATCCCGCATCTGCGCGATCCGTCATACTTGACGACAATGACTGCCCAGTACTGCGCGGCGCAGGCCCCCGCGCTGCCGCCGTCCAGGCATGCTCCCCACCAAGCGGACGTGATCCGCCTCTGGGATACCTTCCTAGTGGAATGCATGCACAGGTGAGGGTAGCAACCCACGCGTTATTCGCTTGGCACTCGGCTCTCCCTCGCACGCATTGGCTCCTGCAGCCCTGAGAAGATCAGGCGGGCAGAACTCGCGGCGAAGGAACTCCGTGCTGGGGCAGTCACATCATCGGTGTCAGAGAGTGCCTCTGGCACCGCATCGGGTGCAACAGGAGTGGGTTGCTTTGCCTTTGGCGCGCAAGCGGCTTTGCATCCAGTGAGCCCCGCAATTCACATGACGAGTCGCATTATTGTACCTCTTGGTCCACAACTCTGAGGTCACAGCCAGCTCAGCCAGCGCGGGCCCCCAATGGACTTCGGGAACCCGCGGGCCCCCCATGCCTCTTTAGAGCAGTGGCGTCGGAAACAGCGCGCGCGCGCGGAGGCGCGGACTGCCTGGCGCGTTGCCTCAAGCGGAAACGGCAACAAGTCGATCTCGCGCTGGCGATGATCAAGAAACAGACTGCGCCTGGCGAGCTAGCATCCAGCGCGCGCCAGGCTCAGGACTGCAGCCTGGGCAGACTCAATACACTGTGTCCAGGGCCTCGCTGCGTCGAGCAACTTCAGCGCCGGTGGCGATCTCGTTTGACTGCAGAGGGGCCATCGCGCACCCCGACGCCCGGGGACTTGGTGACTTCCACCGCGCGCGCCGCGAAGGGGCCCCTGCGCGTCGCGCGCGGCATGGCGTGGACCGCGAAGCCGTGCCAGGGGCCAGCCTTCCCTCCGAGCGGATGGCATGCACTCTGGGGCAGCTCAGCCTGCCGCTCGCCATTCCCATGACTGCAGAGACCCATGCAGCCGCGGCACGCGGCCTGGCCACTGCAGACTGAAGCGGCTCGATCTTGGCCGCCGCCCTGCTGGCCTTCGCCAGCCTCTTGTTCTGATTTGGCACCCACCTCCTGCATCTCGCCGACAGAGCACGACCGCGAGGGGAGGGGAGAGGGGGGAACCCCACCGAGGCGCGCCTTCTGACCAAGTCCGCACGCGCGCCCGAGTTTGGAAACAGTCTGCCCACCTGCCCCACTCCTCCTGGGGGCCGCCCGCGGGCCTCGGGGCCCTGCCGATCCGGGACGAAGACACGCGCCCCTATGGAGCCCCGAAGTGGTGCGGTGACAGACCGTGCGGTGACCTCGAGATCCCCCAAGACCTCACCACCCGGTCCGTCACCGCACGGTCTCGGGACCCTGGAGGCCCCCGTCGCCCGAGGCGTCCTCGGAGAGGGCCTCGAGTCCCAAAACCGTGCGGTGACCCCGAATCCCCACCGACTCACCACACGGGGCGGCGGGGGCCCCGAGCCCCCCGGGGGAAGGGTCGAGAGAGAGCTCCGGGGCCGCGGATGGACAAACATCAATCCATCGGGTGTCTGGGGCTTCTGGCAACGCCAGGGGAGTCTTCGCAGAGGCCCCCCTGCCGTCCAGCCGGAGGCTCTCCTGGCCCCTCCTCCTCCTCCTCGTCCTCCTCCTCCTCCTCCTCGTCGTCGTCCTCCTCCTCCTCCTCCTTCTCGCCCTCCTCCTCCCCCTCCTCCTCCTCCTCCTCCTCCTCCTCCTCCTCCCCCTCCTCCCTCCACCTCCCTCCTCCTCCTCCTCCTCCTCCTCCTCCTCCTCCTCCTCCTCCCTCCTCCTCCTCCTCCTCCATCCTCCTCCTCCTCCTCCTCCTCCTCCTCCTCTCCTCTCCTCCTCCTCCTCCTCCTCCTCCTCCTCCTCCTCCTCCTCCTCTCCTCCTCCTCCTCTCCTCCTCCTCCTCCTCCCCCCTCGTCGCCCCGCTGTCGAGAAGCACCCCGCCCTCCCTGGGAGGGATCGGCTGCACCCAGGGGGTGGGGGCGGGGCCTCTCACGAGGCGAGGGGGAGGCCTTCGGAGAGGCCACTGGCGCCCTTGGAGGGCTGCCCCCCCCCCCCCCCCCCTCGCCTGAGGGGGGACGTCAGGGATGGCCGTCTCGGGGGGAGGAGGAGGAGGAGGAGGAGGAGGAGGAGGAGGAGGAGGAGGAGGAGGAGGAAGGAGGAGGAGGAGGAGGAGGAGGAGGAGGAGGAGGAGGAGGAGGAGGAGAGGAGGAGGAAGGAGGAGGAGGAGGAGGGGGAGGGGAGGAGGAGGGCAGGAGGAGGAGGAGGAGGAGGGGAGGAGGGGGAGGAGGAGGAGGAGGAGGAGGAGGAGGAGGAGGAGGAGGAGGAAGTGTTGCTTTTTAGCACAGGGGGGAACCATCGAGCTGGCATCGGCCATGCATCGCCGACGCAACGGGGACCGGCCCCCGAAGTGGCGCATCCGCACGCTCCTGGGCGGGGGGTGAACCATCGAGCCCCTTTCGGAGAGGAGCGGGCGAGCGGAGGCCCGTGCACACCCCCGTGAGCCGATCCCGCCTAACGCTGCCCCTGATCTTGAGCAGGGACTGGCCGTCCCGGCATTCCTATAGTCCCACCACGACATGTTCTTAGAACCCAGCAGTGCTCTAATGACAAGAACGATGTTCTTAGAACATAATCCCGATGTGTCAAAACAAGACAGCCCCAGCCAGAAATGTTCTAAGAACATTTCGTGAGAACCACAAAAGGTGCCCCCCCCTCCCTCGCCCTTTGCGCGCCGCCCACTGCCCACGCCACCGCCTCCGCCCCTCCTGCAGCTTCTGCATGTGGGGCGGGAACAGGCCCGTCTTGATGCACAGCATGTTGCTGCCGCTGTAGGCGAGCATGTCCTCCATCTCGGTGTTCCAGGCGACGCTGTTGGCGTTCGGCTCCTGCGGCGGGCGTCTCCACGACTCGCGACTGCTCGTAGGAAAGAGAGGCAGGGAGGGAAGCAGAGAAAGAGAAAGAGAGAGAGAGAGAGACATGCACATTACATAATTATAGATAGAGTAAGAGAGAAAAACAGAGAGATAACCAACAAGAGAGAGAGAGGAGAGAGAAGAGAGAACGAGAGAGAGATAGAGACACCTTTCGCGCCCTCGCCCCCCCAATCCCGGCAGCCCTCTCGGCGAATGTGGTGTGGCGTGTTCGGTGTTGGGAGCACCCTCTTCCGCTCTGGGCAGGCCTTGATGGCTCCTCCTCAGCAAACCCCCCCCCACACTCGACCGGCCGCCGACCGGGAACCATGATAGTGATCCCCACCACCATCACTGACAAACATTACACTGTGACGCTCAAGGTGCACGTGGCGGCAACGTCTGGATCGTGATCGGGACCACCGCGAGCACTTTGCGCTGGCACTTGTCAGGGTTGGCTGGGGTCGGCAAACTTGTCTGCTGCACTCTTCCCCACTGCAGTCGGACCTCGGCCAGAAGAGCATCCCTCAAGAACATCCGACCCCCCATGTCGGCCTAAGCAAGCAAATATCCAAGGGTACCCCCCATCTGGCTGCACAAGAGCATCAAACAAGCACGAAGAACATTAGGGCACCCTCCCCGAGCCGACCTTGATCTTGTAACTCGGTCCGAATGTATCCCTGTCAAGAGCCGATGCAGATTCACAAAGGGTGCACGCCATACGCCGTGCGGACCAACCCGACCCCGCTTTGCATCCGTCGTTTCCAGGGCAGTCGAGACGCTGTCAGAAGGAACCCTGAAGGAACGAGGCCCCCTTTTTCTCCAGAAGGTACGCGTCGATCTCCCATAGAGAGCCTCAGGGACATCTAAGAAAATCTGAAAATCGATCAAGGGACGCTGCGCCCCTCTCCACAGAAACAGGGCTCCTTCTTCAGCGGCCCGATTGCATTTGACTGCTGCAGGCTGCTCCACTAGCCATGCCAAACGCAGCTGCGAACTCGTTGAATTTGCAAAAACACCATAAACCATGCTGACCACCTACAATCAAAAACCCTAATAAGGACGCGCGGTAAGGACGCAAGTCCCTTGGAAGCCGAAGTTGGGATGTTTGGGGCGGCGGACGACGAAAACCTCAAGGACGCCTGGGCCCTGAAGTTGACTGCACGTGGATCCCCGCTCATCGGGGCGCGCCCAGAGTTGCAAGGTCCCCCCAAAAAGGTCTCCTCCCCCTTTCTCCTCCTCGCTCTCTGTCCCCTCTGCCCTTAAGTCGGGCCTGTCCTCCTACAGGGGGATTTTGGACGAAAAATAAAAATTTGTCAAGAAATGCCCCAACAGGGTTAAAACCTAATCAACAAATCATCCCCAGACTATTCTTTTCCTGTTTTTGGATTTTCCTTCTGTAGAGGGACAGGCCCGACTTAATCCTACTCGTCCGTCCTTCTCCTCCTCTTCCTCCCCCCCTGCCGGCGCCCCGCTCGAAGACCTCCCTCTGGCATCCCACATCCCCTTCCCGCACAAGGTTCACCGAGAACGCTGCCGGCCGATCGAGCACAAGGCCAGAGCAAGGGGCGCCAGTGCGCGTGCAGCCGGTGCAGAGGAGGAGGGGGAAGCAGGAGGGGGTCGGAGGAGGAGCAGGCTCGGAGCAGGGGAGAGGCATGAGAGGGGAAGGAAGACGAGGCGCAGGTGGATTTCTCACCAGCGATCCCGTCTGTATAACTCTGTGCCCTCGGCACGAGGACATGGTCCAAGCGGCACCAGAAACAAGATGGCGAGTCACTGGCAACCCGTGCTCGCAATGAGAACCAACAAGACCGATGCTGCCTCTGGCAAGACCGGGAGGAGGGCGACGACGAGGAGGACGGCGAGATCAAGGACGAGGAGGGCGAGGAGGCGAGGAGGACGGCGAGATCAAGGACGAGGAGGGCAAGGAGGCGAGGAGGACGACGAGGACGAGGACGAGGCGGAACAGGAGGCCGAATGGGGCAATGACGACGAGGAGGCTGAGCAGTGGCCCGCGCCGCGACCCTGGCCGCCCGCGATGCGCTTCCTGGTAGAGGAGCGACTGCGTGTCCAGGTCGTAAACGAGAAGGTTCGCGGTCTCGTCCACGACGGCGAGCTTCTTGCGCCTGGTCGGGCGGATCGCGGATCCAAGCTTGCTGGATGTTGTCATTACCATCGTCATTGCTCGTATTGGGCACGTATCGGGAAGCCCAGAGGCCGCCAGAGGCCTCTAGGGACCTCTGGGGGGGCCTGCAAGAAAATCTGGGGACCTCTGGGCTTCGCGAGGCCTTGGAAGGCCGCCCGGGGGTCTCGCCTTGGAAGGGTCGCGCGGGATGAGAGGGAGCAATCAGAGAGAGAGAGAGAGAGAGAGAAAAGAAGAAGGAGGAAGGGAGAAAGAAAGGGAACGATATATATATATATATATATATAGAGATAGAGAGAGAGAGAGAGAGAGAGAGAGAGAGAGAGCGAGAGCGCGATAGACACACACACACACACGCCGATATACGTGTATACAAATAAACAATCGGCAGAAGGGGGATATCTAGACTTACATGTGAATACATCTATACATATGGACATATCTAGGTCCATCCTTACATATTTGTAAGACATCAGCATAGAGAGAGCGAGATAGAGAGAGAGAGAGAGAGAGAGCGAGGGGAATCTAAATCATGAAAACGAGGAACGCGGAGCCAGGAGAGAGCCAAAGGCTGAAGAGACCCTCCAAGATGGAATTTGGAACCCTGTTTCGTGCTCTCCTCCGTTCTGGATGTCTTTTCCCAATGTGTGGGGGTTTTCGGGAGCTTTGAGGCCTTCGGGACGCGGGAAGAAGGGGGGACGATGTGGGGAATGCGCTGAGCGGAAGGGGGAGGATGTTGTTGATGATGACGATGATCAGGATGGGATGGGAGATAATAAGGTCGATGAGGGGAAAACCATCCGCCGCCGCGCTTGCAGCGGCTGGTGTGTGTCGAGCCCTTGGTTGCTTGCTAGTTTCGCTTCTTCTGGTTCAGGATTCAGAACAAGCTGACGCATCCAGCCACAGGGTGCATACCTGCTTCGCCAGGTTCCCGTTTTTTTTCTGCATTTCCCAAACAAAAGCGGTGCCAAAATCAGTGGTTCGGGCAGGACGTTCCATGGCAACTAACCCCCAGGCGCTCCCCTGGAAGAACACCTATATCTTCGGAGGTCCACGCGGAATTCTTGGATCGGCGCTGGGGGAGGGCGGGGGAGAGGGAGGGGGACGCGAAAGCGGAGGAGAAGTAGGAGAGGGAGGAGGGACGACGACGACGACGACGACGACGACGACGACGACGGCGACGACGACGACGACGACGACGACGACGACGACGACGACGACGACTGCGCTGGATCCGGCCGCGGCCTGCACGAGAGGTCCAGGCACCGCACCGCGGTGGCCTGCGCGCCGCGCGCGCGCGGCGCGCTCGTCCGCCGCCGCCGCCGCCGGCCTGGGCAGCGGTCGACGTCGTCGTCGTCGTCGTCGACGTCGACGTCGACGTCGTCGTCCGCATGGTCGTCATCGGCACTGTCGTCGTCGACGGCGTCATCGAGGGATGAGGGTGGGGAGGACTGGGGGGGCAGGAAGAGGAGGGGGTTGAGGATAGGCGAGGAGGGAGGAGGATGAATGAGGAGGATGAGGTGGAGGGAGGTCGGAGCGAGGGGCCGCCTCCCCCACTCCCTGCCCGAAGACCTCCCTCTGCCCTGCCGCCCTCTGCCCCTCCCCTGCAGGCCGCGGGGAACGGCAGTGCCCCCTGCCTGGAGAGCACAGGCTCGCCATCGCTCGGACGTCCATTCCCTGTGCTTTTGTCGGTTTCGTGTGTGGTTTTTTTCGCCAAATACTCAAGGATGCTCCTCGATGGTCCTCGCCGAAGGAAAAATGCACACGTCCGAGCGATGCCAAGCAGGCTGGTGTGGGCATGCCCCTGGATGCTGCCCCTCCCTCCGTTGGAGGGCTGGGCCCTCTCCCGGGGCACGACCACGCTGGCTTGTGCTGTCCAGACCGCACGAGGGGCCTGGTCCTGTATGCCTCATCCCTCCCAGGCCCGCCCGCTTGCAGGCCCTCCCCCCGCCCTCTGCCCCCATTCCCCGCTCCCGGCCCGCCCCCTGCCGCTCCCGCCCCCCCCCTCCCCCCCTATCTCCCTTCCCCTCCTGCCTTGCCTCCTCCATTCCCCCCCCCCCCACACCCTCCACCTTCCCTCCATGCCTCCCCCTCCTTCCCTCCTCCCCTCCCCCTCCTCAGACGCACGGCCAGGAGCCAAATCGGCAACCAGTAAACTTGTGGGGGGCCGCGCGGATTTCCCCGCTCGGTGTTGCACCCCCCCCCCTTCGAATCACGAATCTGCGGCGGGCTCCACTCTCGGAGGAGGGCCAGTTGAGACACCGCCGGCTCTCCCGCCCAAGTCAAACCCTTTCAAGATCAACCCCCAGACCCCTCCTGGGGTCCTCCATCCTGACGTGTTTTTTGGAGGCCGATCCAGCCGTGGCGACGAGAAGCCTCCGCGATGCCCACACATGACTAGAAACCTCTGGGAGGGCCGCCGATGTCTCGACTGGCCCTCCTCCTCCTCCAACACTCCACTCCACTCCACTCCACTGCACTGCACTCCACTCCACTCCACTCCACTCCACTCCACTCCACTCCGGCCCACTCCACTCCACTGCCCACTCCACTCCACTCCACTCCGCTCTGGCCAACTCCACTCCACTCCACTCCACTCCACTCCACTCCACTCCACTCCACTCCACTCCATTGCACTCCTCTCAACTCCACTGCACTACACTCCACTCCGCTCCGCTCCACTCCAGCCTACTTCGTCCCCTCCCTCCTCCCCACCATGACACCCGGCGCCGTGGGAACCTCGACGGCGCCGTGAGCAGAACCACAGCCTGGAGCGCACGAGGCCGCCCCGATGTGCGGGGCTTCTCGTGCTGGGGGCCGCGCAGCGACGGCCCAGATGGGGCCGATCCGGGGCACAAACGGCCGTCGTGCTCTTTCGCAAGACGCCGCTCCTCTTCCTCCCCCTCCTCCTCCTCCTCCTCCTCCTCCTCCTCCTCCTCCTCCTCCTACCCCGCTCCAGTCCCCTGCTCCTCCTTCTCCTGCCCCGCCTCCTCCCCCCCATCCTCCTCCTGTTCCTCCTGCGCCTCGTCCTCCCCTTCCTCCTCCACCTGCGGCTCTTGGCTCTTCCCCAACCTTCTCCTGCTCTTCCTCCTCCTCCGTCTGCTCCCCCTCCTCCTCCTCATCTCTCTCCTCCTCCTCCTCCTCCTGCTCCTCCTCCTCCTCTTCTTCCTGATGTCCCCAAAAACTTCGTATCCCAGACTTTGTCCCAGGGCCCAGTACAATCCGCAAGTCTTCGCCAGCGTCCCAGTACCTATCCCTGATCCACCCCGTCCGCCAACATCAACTCGGCTAGTGCTCTGCAGAGCTGCGCCCAGCTGTGGCGGCAAGATCCTGCAGAAGCGTTCCCCCTCAAAACGACATGTTGTTAACCAGCGCGGACCCCAAACAGTGCGTTCTAGCGCACTGTGTGGGGCAATGTGAGTTGTGCAGTGTAGCGTAGCCTATGTCGTGCAATCCACATGGTGCAATAGATGTCGTGCAAACTACGTGGTGCACTTCAAGTGGCGCGCAGTCTAAGTGTGTATGCAATACGATATATGTTGCGTGAACTGTGTCGTGCCATTAGTCTTGAAAAACTTGGACTTGTTAATTCCACTGCTTGCGCAATCGTCCCACCCACCCACCCGTAACGTGGCTTGCAAAACCCACGCGGCGGCGATTACGATGAGTTCTTTGTGCTGGCTGGTGCATCTCTGCGGCCGCGCTAGCCCGCGCATGCTCGCGCGCGCAGCGGTCAGCAAGTTTGGTGTGAGCGGTGGCGCTGACCGCTAGGCACTTCCCAGCGCGTCTGGCAGGTCGCGTTGGCGCGCGTGCGCTTCAGTGCGAGTCGTTGGCTAGGGCGGGCGCTGTATCACGGCGGCGCCGACAACGGTAGACATGATGATGATGATGATCGTAGCGATGATGGTGGCGATGGTGACGATGAGGACGGCAAGACCAATGACGGCTCCGATGCTGATCGCGCCGATGACGATGATGGTGTCCTCGTGTCGGTGATGAAGGTTTCGGAAGGATTTCGACATGCGCGCGCGGCCGACGCGCGCGAATGGCCCGCATGGTGTTATTTGACAGGAACCGTACCCCCCCAGCACGCGCGCAAGGGCGTTCGAACGATTTCGGCATACACGCGCGAGAGTCCTGTTTGGACGAAAGTCTTGCAAATAGTGAAGCAGCCCATGATTGTCTCAAGAATTCGCAAGAGCGCGCGCAGACCTGTTTCCGAGAACAGATGTTGCAAAACCATGTGCGTTTTGTATGCTTTCGGGACACTCGATGATGAAATCCTGGCGAAACCTGCGGTTTTGGCAGGATCGCGGTCTGCGCGCGAGACGACGCGCGTGTGTGCACTTCGTCCCACTTTTGCAAAGGGGTTCTTGAACACTGACGATGTTTGATACACGAATGTGCGCGAATAGAATGTTTTGCAAAAGGTGGCGGGGGTTGTCGAATACCGGTGTGGCTGGGATGGTATGGATGCATATTGAAGACGGACGATGGGGCAGCATCATACATACATTGCAATGCCAGATGGCGGGCGCATAATCCTGGCGGGGGGTGGTAGATCGCAGTTCTTTTTTAGAGCGGAAAATCTACGTGGAGCGAACATCTCCATCTATGTGGTGTAAGCTAGGTGGTGCAATCTACGTGGTGCAAAATGTATGGGGTGTGAGCCATGTCGTGCAATACATGGGCCATGGGCTGCAATATATGTGATGTAAGCTATGTGGTGCAATCTATGTGGTGTAAGCTATGCGGTGCAATACATGTGGTGCAAGCTCTGAACGGGCGGCGACGGCGACAACAAGTGCGGCGACCGACACCCAGGCGCAAAGGAGCGGCCACGATCGGCGACGGTGACAACAAACGCGGCGACCGACACCCAGGCGCAGAAGCAGCGGCGACCGATGGCGGCGACGGGCGGCGACGGCGACAACGAGCCAGCCGGACCGACACCCAGGCCCAGCTCCATTCAGACCAGGTAATAACTCCTGAGTGCAAGCGCTGCTTTGGGGAGAGGCGTCGACGGCGACCCTAGACCTTCGATCTCCCGTGTGCCGCCTCAGGGACCCCGCAATAGACAGGATAAGCGTAAACTTAGGTCGGGCCTGTCCCCCTACAGGCCGATTTTCGACGAAAAGTAAACAGATTCAAAACATGTTCAAACATTGTCAAAGAAATGCTCCAAGAGTCGTCCCAAGGCAGAGAGACAGGCCCGACTTGAGCGTATTCGTGAGAGTAGGATGGATAGGAGGATGGAGAGGGAAGAGGAGCAGGAGGAAGGATAGCGATTTCCCCGCTCACCCGAGGCCCCGCCAAGGAACATCAGACTTACCCTTGGCACGAAAAAAAGGGGTCATGAGGGGAACGGGCTCCGGACGCTGGGGCTGTCCCCTGGGGCCACTTATGCCCCATGTTTGGTGCCAGGGAGAGAGAGAGAGAGAGAGAGAGAGAGAAAGAGAAAACTAGAGAGACAGAGAGATCAAGAAAGATCGACACGTCAACACAGAACGAGCTTGTGGAACATCCGGGGGCCCAAGGAGGGCCCCAGGAACCCGATGGCGGCGAAACGCCTCCGGGCCCGCTTCCCTCGGAGGCCGCCTGCTCCATGGCGAGCATGCGGTCGGGACCTTCTGCTCAGCGTGTCGCAGCGGCGGCCCCGGCCACTCGCCGTGCCTTGCGAGCGGATGGCGCGTCGCTCCGCTTCGCAGGGTGGGAGGCTGGGAAAAGCCCAGGATGATGGCGCCTAGGGCCCAGGACGTTGTCAGCGTGTCGCGCCGGGGCGTCGTGGGCCCAAACCAGCGGCGCGACACGCTAAGCAACAAAAGCCCGGGCCGTAGGCCCAGGCATCTGATGTCTTGTTTTTGTTCCAATGCGGCGTCCCAGAAGGCCCGACCCTTTCCGCAAGGGTGGTGTTTCATCCCGAATCGTTTTTGAAGGTCCTGGGGCCTTTGAGCGCCACCGGAGGCCGAAAGCGGCCAAACATCTTCCGTCACGATTTTTACTCACGACGCGAACATGTTTGGGAACAGATCCGCCCCGAGGCTTCCGCGGCCGCGGCCAGACCTGCTTGACGAGCGTGACCGGGAACGCGTTATCGACGAAAATCTTCATGACGTGCCTGGCGGGCGAACGAAGCGCTCCGCTGGGCAGCCCCAGTCGGCGGCGGCGGGCTGCCCCGGTCGGGCCTGTCGGTCATCGAGGATCGAGGAGGGCTTTCTGACCTTCCTTTCCCATGGCTCAAGGCACAGTGGTGCTGGCCGGTGTGACCCACATGTTAAGCATGAAGTCTAACGCTTCCTCTAGAGCTATCGCCTCAGCCGAAAAAAACGAGATGGGTCTATCAATGTAGCGACCAGCCGTACTCAATGGATGTGGGCTGCACCCCATACGCTTTCCGTTCATATGTATACGCGTACATGTACATACAGAAACCTGGTTCAGAAACCTGTATGACCGATTCTGGAAGCCGTGAACCCAAAAATGTTGCCGTTCCAATTTTACTTCTGCCAACATTCCGCCTGCTTTCGCCGGCGCGCCCACTACCGTTTTACCTCCGGCAGTCTCCGCTGGCTTCCGCCAGAAGGCGAAACGCGCCGAAGGCGAGGTCCCTTCTGGAACTCCATACATGCATCTGTTGAAGAAGCCTCACGTTTACCACCCAGGGGCGCCACAGCGAGGGAGTTGGGGGGCCATCCGACGCCCATGTGGACGGTGACCCCCGACTGGCCCCCGAGACTAGGAGACATCTGGGCTGTGCTAGTCGATCCTTGCAGCCGAGAGAAGCATGTCGCCTGGATAATGACATATATGACGATCATAATGTATACACATACGTAACGCGTAACGGCATATGCATATACAATTGCGTGTACATACGTGTCTGGAGAGCGGCCGCGGTAGCACGGACAGAGAGAGAGAGAGAGAGAAATGAACCGGGGCGCTCATTAGCGTCAACGCCCTTCTCACTTTCCTCCCCCGTCCTCCTCCTCCTCCTCCTCCTCCTCATTTCCCCTCCTCCTCCTCATCCCGTTCTCTCCATGTCGTTTCCCCTCATTCCCCGCCACCTTATCCTCCTCCTCCTCCTGCTCCTCCTCCTCCTCCTCCTCCTGCTCCTCCTCCTCCCTTCGCCGTCCTCCTCTGCCTGACTCCTGTTCCTTCCTTCCTCCTCGCTCCTCGCTCCTCGTCCTCGTTCCTCTGTCTTCGTCCTCCTTTCCCCCAGGGGAGACTCCCGAGCCGTTTGAGCCATCTACTTCTCTCAAGCCAGGCCAGACCCCTGAACCACCCTAGAGCCCTCATCCTATTTTTGTCTTCCTTGCTCCCTCCTCCGTTCCGTGCTTTTGGCGTCGTGGTCGTTGTCGTCCAGCTTCTTCTCCTCTTCCTTCCTCCCCTGGTCCCCCCCGCCAGAGACGTAAAGAACTCCTTGGGCCCCTTACTAAACAACACGCGAGGCCTCTCAGACCCCCTGGAGCAACCTGGAGCCCTCGTCCCTTCCCTCCTTCCGGATCCATCGACCTTCCTCCTCTCCACATCCCCTCTTCCCCACCGTTTCCCTCCCCTCCCCTCCTCCCTCCCCCTCCCTTGGCCGCTGCCCCCGGTCCTCCTGCCCCTCCCCCTCCCCCAGGTCCGCCCAGCCTCCTGCACTCCCTCTTCTTTCTCTTCCTCCTCCTTCTCCTCCCCCTTTCCTTTTCCTTATACATAACTTCTCCCTATCACACCCCGAGACCAGTTTTTAGGGCGGGCTGGGCGTTTCGGCTGAGAATCCCTTAGCATTTATGACCCTGAATCTTTAAACAATGTCAGCCCTGTCACGGATTGATGGCGGGTGGCTTTCAACATGTGGCTCTCGCCACACCGCCGCGCACATTCGCGATAAAAAATGGCAAGAGTTTCGCGGATTGAAGGCGGGTGATTTTCAACATGTGGCTCTCGCCTTAGCGCCGCACATATTCGTTTTAACAATTTGCAAGAGCTTCACGGAATGAGGGCTGGTGGTTTTCAACGTGTGGCTCCCTTAGCGCCGCGCACAGTCGTTGTAAACATTTGCAAGAGCTTCACGGAATGAGGGCGGGTCGGTTTCAAACTGTGGCTCTTGCCTTAGCGCCGCGTGCATTCGTTTCAAATAGTTGCAAGAGTTCCACGGATTGAAGACGGGTGGTTCTCAACATGTGGCTCTCGCCTCAGCGCCGCGCAAGTCCGGGATAACAAATGGACAGAGCTTCACGAATTGAAGACGGGTGGTTTTCAACATGTGGTTCTCGCCTTAGCGCCGCGCGCATTCGTGTTTTCATTTGCAAGAGTTCCGCGTGCTCCCATGTCACCGAACCAAAACATGTTTCTGGGAAGGTTCATGATTATGAGGGTGCAACAATTACGTTGGTTCGCCGTGCTGAGGTCTCCGGAGTGGCTTTCTGAAACGGATCAACATCGTCAAGACGCAACAATCAGCCTGATCCGCGGCGTCGGAGCCCCGCGAAGAATGTTTTGGCATGCGTCAGGGTCTTCGAACGACCGCATTCTAACGGGGCAGCCCTCTCAGTGGAAATGAACCGCTGTGGGGGCCTATGAAGAGGGAGCTTGGAGGAAGGGCTTATTCCATGACTCTTGCGTTCCCACAAGTCCTCCTCCTCCTCCTCCTCCTTGCTCCCCCTCCCCTCACGAGGTAGAAAAAAACACAAATAAACACCTAAAAGGAGCAACTCCCCTCCCTCCCCTCCCCTCCCCCCCCACTCTTCCCGGGGGGGGGGGGGGGGGGGCTGGATAGGTGGACGCGCGCCCCGCCCGCCAGGAATCCCGACTGAGCTTGGTGGGCAGCACGGCGAGCAGCCCAGACGGCCAGTCCCTCTCCTCCTCATCCTCCTCCTCCCTTCGCCGTCCTCCTCGCCTCACTGTTCCTGACTCCTGTTCCTTCCTTCCTCCTAGCTCCTCGCTCCTCGTCCTCGTTCCTCTGTCTTCGTCCTCCTCCTCCTCCTCTTCCTCCTCCTCCTCCCTCCTCCCTGATCCATCCTCCTCCTCCTCCTCCTACAAAACAAAAATTCTACCCTCCTCTCTCCCTTGACTGCGTGCGGAGGATCTCCCGAACCTCCTCCGCGCCCTGCTTTCAACGCACAAGTCCGTCTTCTTTTTCTCCGCCCGGCAGGTTGGGGCTGATAGACTTTAAAAGGATTGGCCTCCCGACCCACCAACTATGCATATCGCGGCCGCCAGACCCCCAGGTCCAATGAGTGCCCCCGAGACTCCCGTCTCGCGCTCTCGACGACCACGACAGAACCTGCTATACCTGATCTTACGACAACATGGCATAACAGAGCATGGTACCGCATGGTAATACCGACTACAACATAACACAACGCCATACACCAGACCAAACATAATTGGCAACGCACGCCGCGACATGACGGAGCGTGCAGCACGGAACACCGCATCACACAGCATAGCATACACTCATACCATACCACGCCACATCACAACACCTCATACGATCTCATGGCATGCTACCACCTAGCGTAGCACAACGCGTCATCACAACGCATGCTAGGAACACGGATCACATATGCTATAGCATAACACTGCACCCCGTACCAAACCAGAGCAGAGCATGACAGACTAAACAATGGCGTGCCATATCATACCATGTCGCACCATGTAACCATCCATCCACCATATTATAACACTACATCAGCGCATCCAGCATTCCATACCACGACACAACGTACCATACACCGCATTATCACACATGAGGCAATCACATAACGTAACAGAAGACCGCACCATCACCCACGACGGAACGGATTGTCCATACCGTAACAGAACACGAATAGCATAACCAAAGGCAGCTAGTCACATCATATTGTACCATATCATGGCATACCATAAAATATCGCAGCAAACAATGACATATCATATTCTACAGCAGTACATTAACCCAACATATGGCATCGTGTGCCACGACAACGCGTACCATGACAGAGCGAGGTAGACCTCACACCATACCACCATAACGTAACATATATGCACTTGCATGTCATACGTCGACAGCACATACCATATTATAACCCCGCATACCAACACATCATGACATGCCAACACAGACCCAGCCAACCGGCGTCTCGATTTGTTCGAAATACGGGCCCCCGACCTCTCGACCACTTCCCAGGGACCGGTTTTCATTCCCCATATCCTAAGATGGGGTTCTTGTCATTACTTGGACGCCTCCTACTCCTCCTTCCTCCTCTTCTCCTCCTCCTCCTCATCCTCCTCCCCCTTCTCATACCTAGCCTTACTCATACACATACTTACTCATACACAGACTCACTCATACTCAGACCTGATCATCTTGCCTGACTCATACTCAGACCTACTCATACTCATACCTACTCATACTCAGACTTACTCATGCCGAGACTCACTCATACCCAGACTTACTCATACTCAGACCTTATCATTGTCAGACTTACTCAACACACAGCACATTGTGAGGATGTCTCAGGCGGGGCGCTGGTTTCAGCACCCCTAAGGGGAGCCGCCACAGGGTATGACACGGTCCCGTTCGCAGCCATTCTGTGGGGATGTCTCAAGCGGTTTGCCTGTTTTCTGTCCCAACATCCTTCGCTTAGAGAGCAGATTGTGAGGATGTCTCAAGCGGGGCGTTTCACACCCCTAAGGGGGAACCGCCACGGGGTATGACACGGTCCCGTTCGCGGCCGTTTTGTGGGGATGTCTCAAGCGGGTTGCCTGTGTTCTGTCTCAACATCCTTCGCTTGGAGAGCAGATTGAGAGGATGTCTCAGGCGGGGCGCTGGTTTCAGCTACCAAAAGGGAGCCGCCAAGAGTGCTTTCACGGCTCCGTTCGTCGCCGTTTTGTGGGGATGTCTCTAGCGGTTTGCCTGTTTTCTGCTTTTGCGTTGTGTCCCGAGTGGCTCTCCCCGTTGCGTTCGGCGGTCAAGGAGGAGTGACCAGATGTTGCTGGCGCAGAGCTTGTGTCACCGTGGGATGTTGCTTTCTCTCTCCGTGGTGCTTTCCAATATTGTCGTCGTCAGCGGGAGAGGGGACTTGAGAAGGTTCATTCTCCCGCGTGCGTTTTGGGCTGGGGGGGGTACATGTGGCTCATATGGCTAGACGCTCATTTAAATATCCCAAGTACAATATTACCTTTTAAAAGGATGCGCATATGGGGAACTCGACGCAGTGAGTAATACCGAGTCGTTTGTTTGACGGTCCCGAGGCACGGTAGGAGCCCCGAGAGGCCGAAAGCTATGAAACATCGCCGTCTCGATTTTTCGAGACGCCCGATGTCTGGGGAGCACATCGCACAACATACCATATCACACCACCGCACATAACAAACACACACCATACCATGACATACCACACCATGTTCTGCGACAGCGGAAACCGGCGACGTGGCCCGACCGCCGCGCTGGCCAAGCCAACAGGACCCCGCGCGCATCGCTCCAGCAGGCGCGCGCACCTTCGGGAACACACGCCGAGGGTTCTGGCGGGCATCGCTCGAAGCAAAATACTTGCTCCTTTCTTGTTTCAAGGGGTTCAGGGACACACAAATAAATACAAACGAATCCCAGGATTCCCCATATGTTTCAATACTTTTCTGGGTTTTCGTCTTCCCCCCCACTTCTCGTATTTTCCCAGATTTTCCTGGGCATCAGCGATTAATTGTGTCTGTGTGTTTTCCCCTCCTGATTTAAATT